CTAACCGTGACTTTAAAGACTGTTATCAGTACTGATTGATTCTGGAATGCTTCTATCATAGTTTAAATAATTTGCTTGGCTGCGGGGCTCCCACTAACAAACAAATGCCATCTAATTCCATTTTTAAACAGGACATCATTGGTGAAACTGGTGTGTGATCAAAGTGCAGATGAACCCAAGTTAGACACATTCGGCTCCGGAAATGAAAACCCTACAACATATGTGAGCGTCATAGAATCATGATTTTCAAGTAATCCTAGGCTACTGTTCACCGCATTGATAGCATCCAGCGATGCAGACGGCTAAATGATTGGCGAAATAGCCAATAATTCAGTTGCCAACTTCTACATTGCAGACAGCATGAACAAGTTCTACACGTAGACAGTTACATGTGTACTTTTGCAGGCCGCAGGGCTAGAAAATGCCAATATACAAACATTAAAATTTCGTCATTCCTATGAAATAACGTGGAAAATATTAGTGGGTGTTACTTTTTCGTTGGCTACTGCATGGCGTGCAAAGTTAACTTGAATCCCGGAATAGAGATATCTCAATTCCTAGACGTGCCTAGCTAACATTTATTCCCGGAATAAAGATTTCTCTATCACTAATAGAGATATCTCTATTAACCAATAGATACATCTGTATTAAGTTTCCGCTTCCGAGGTCAGCAGGTCGCCCACGACGTATTGTGTTTAAAAACCTTGAGGGTTTCGAATCATGTCTTAATACTTGTACTCCCGTAGTTGTTTACATATTTAACTAAGAAACGTGAAACAACCCCCTGTTTTTAGTGGAACTTGCTGCGTTACGTTACAATGACCTTTCCGTTGGCCCAGTGTGTGGAACTGGAAACAAAATAAGAGACATCTCTATTAAGAATAGACATATTATCTCTATACGCGGATTAAATGTTCACTTTGCATGCCATACTCCCGTCTCTATTCAACAAGATGCTCGGTTGTTTTAATTCTCCACACTATCACGATCAAAACATTAAAAAAAAAGATAACCTCCGGTATGTCCTCTTTTCTTCGTTTCCATAAAATCATCGTTTTACATGCGGTTTCACCTTCACCAGAATTTCACCTTAACATCCAAGTGTGCCTGTCCTGGGGCTTGTCAATCCTCTACACCAACTTTTAATCCCCCACATCGTGGCATGATCAGTCCAGGATCTGTCCTTTGTATCATGTAAGTCCTGTTTAGCAAGTTTTGGCTCTTTCAAGCTGAGACCTTTTCCATGTTTGCATCTTATTCTGGCCAAGTTGTAAGAGTCATCTTCGGCTACAAAATTTTGCAAAATTAACACCATTAGGTTTATAGCTCCAATTTATTTGGATATTTACCAGCTGAGGGCGCTAGCGTCAAGTCTATTAATGGTCTGATGCTGAACAAGGGAATAGAATGTACCTTTATCTGTGGCCGTATTCGAGCGCTTTGGACTGTGGCAGCCCTCTCCGTATGGACATTTGTTACTTCGGCCGCAGCCTGATGATGGCCGTGGCGTAAATGCGTCATAATAAAATAATCTTAGGACATTGTTATGACCATTAACTGCACTTCAGTTCGTTGTCTTTGCCTGGTATTTCAAAATTATGGTCGGAAAATACAGTAACATAAAACGCTGTATTTTACTTACTAATATTTTTCGCCCCCCCCCCTACCTCGGGGGTTGACAGGCTGAGACAATAAGTTTATCAAATCGTGGAACTATAATCCGTTTTATAGCTTCATGAGCTTCAGATTTTCCACAGGGAGTCCAGCCTGACACTTCGGTATTTTACAACCATGTTTATATTCCAGTGTTCCAGTGTTGATAGTGGTGTACCTGGTTGCGGGAGTTCTCTTCATGAAATTTGCGCGCCATGCTGAGGGGACAGACCTAATACCCAACAGAGACATTTGGACTAATCTCTACGGCAGTATTCGGGTAGGACAATCGTTTGTGACAGCTCCATGAGATTAAGGAATAAGGATGCCTCCGGGAATTTTATGTCAAATTATTTCCATTTCATAAAAGGGGGCTGGAAACCGGAAGAAATGTTTAAAAGGGTTTGCAGGCCAGTGCTTTTGTTCCACAGCACAAACGAGGTTTCCCTGTATGTGGAACAAAAGAACTGCCCTACATGATGGATACCACGCAAAGCCCCTATTGCTTTTTCAAATGTATTTAATCCTTATTCATAAATACCTTGGATAGTTTTTCTATTCCTATTGGTCGAAACGCGACACGTGCCCGTGTATTAACATTTGATAATGTCCGCTTAGAAGTAGCCTTGGTCAAGGCATTCGTTGCAGCGCAGTGCGCAACTACCGCTCGAAATCTAGGCGAAGAGCGACCTCACGCGGTTTAAGAAATTTGCAAATCAACTGAACCAGGACGAACGCTTGAGGTCACTCTTTGCCTTGATTTCGAGCGGCAGGTGCGCACTGCGCTGCAACGAATGACGAACGCCTTGACCAAGGCTACTTCACCGCGGTGCGCTGCAAGTTCAATGAAGGGGATTCTATTGGACAACTTTTAAAAGCAATATATGCCTACCATAAAATAGATGGGATTGTTTGCGAAAATGAAAGTAAAGTTTCATAACAAAATCGTTGGAAATCCGTGATATGCTGACTTCTTTTGACTCTCTGAATAAAAAGGTATTTTATGAATAGGAATAAATATGTACTTGACTAGTCTCAACCAAACGTTAAGACCTTGCTCAGGAGAACGAACCCTGATAATGCCTTCCTGCAGCTCGGGCATGTAGTCGCGTCTGTTCTCCTGAGCCGGCCTTAAACGCACGTTTAGACCGGCCAAGCACATATTTTATTCATACTTAAGCAGGGTATTTCGACTGTAGGCAGGCCACTGGCATTAGCTGTGCTGATGTTCAGTTAATCACAAAAAATTGACTTTATTTACCTTGTACACAATAATCCTTTTTGCTTTGTCCCTTTTTTACTTAGGATGGTTTCATATTTGTCTTCACCTGTGGGAAGAAGTCTGGATATGACAACGTGAAATAATTTGACATGCTGCGTATGCTGAAATTCATGGTGCACGACACGAATGGATTTCGAGAAATAAACTCACATATGGTCATGGTTTGACACAATACTACTCAAGAAAACTGTACACTGGTGACAATTTCAGTCTTTTTTATCCCAACGGCCTTTATTCACGGGGAAGCCATTTTTTCTTGTTCCGTTAATCCATCATACTGGATTTAGTGTATGAAATGGCGTGGTTCAAGACTACATGTATTTGAGGTTCTAAACTTCACTTTGTATGTGTTTTTTTTTTCTGTATTTTTTGCTAATGTCCCTTGGAACCTTTTAGACAAGAGTTATCACAACTTTATAATTATTCTAAATCAAACTTGGCATGAATTTATATTTCGTCGCGTTTCTATTATTTTTAATCTAGGATTCCTAAAATGAAAGGTTTTACCTCACTTTCAGTTCCAGATGGCTGACATATGAATTCAGTCGACTGACATCAGTTCAGAAAGGGTCCTTCAAAATTACTGACTTTTTTAATGTATCTTAAAGAGCGTACGGGGGGACTACCAGCGAAGAAACTGACGAAGAAAACTGAGTATGGGAAATGGAACAATGTTCATATATATTCCGTGGATGAGAGCACAAAACGCTATAAATGCAACATGTGTGTATACGTACGATAACATATGCTGCAAATCCTCCGTGAATGGGCGTTCTGATCGACAGTGTAGTCATCTCATTGTTGATCTCCAAACGGAATGTGAAACGTGGATACCAAGAAGCCCTATGGTATTCTTATCTCTCTTTGTAAAATGGAAGATGCAGTTTTTAGGAGCCGCTGAGGATTAAGTAATTTTTCTCGATAATATCATAGACAAGCAAAATGAACTTGATGAGGATACGGTGCGAGAGTAATAACTTGAAATCTCCAACTGAACCATGAAGGATGATTAAATCTACGAATCAGCTCCATGTAGCTCCTGTTTTGAAAATACCATACCTGGCAATTTGCGGTTCTTTATCGGTGTTCTTTACCTACCGTTTCCATCTCGTATGTTCAAGTCCCTTTGCCGAAACGGACATTTCGTCACCAACACCACGAAGTAACACAAATCTATAGATGTGTGCGCGCTTCAACGCGTATTTTATAGAAATATGATATTTTCGTTTTCACGAAGAGGCACAAATGTCTTGCGTCACGTGCTCCGTGATTTGCTGTATTCAGAAATCGAAGTTCTCCTTAATTTACACAGTTACGAGTTTAAGAGCATTTTTTCAGTTTAGTCAGCCATTTACGGGGAAAATAAAACCATTTTAGACATTTAAAGCTTTTTTCTATGCTATATTGACAAAACACACACTTGTGCTCCGGGAAAACGAGATTGTTCAATAGTGCACGAGTGTACAATATGCGCATGCGCACATTTGTGTCACTTCGTGAAACCAAAACTGCTCTAATCACGCTTTCCATGAACTGGCACAAAAGTGAAGATGTGTGTCAGTTCGTGGTGTTAGTGACGATTTAGTTATTTACAACTGCGCATGCTCGATACAGTTAAGAAGCAGACATTACAGTTTCCCCGTACTGCAGACGACGCACGGCAGTGACGTTTTTGGAAGGGCACTGAACGAAAAAAAATCCACCCTATAAAACAGGTAGAAAAAAAAAGAACGCGATTGTATTCAATTTTTCAGATGTATTTTCAGGCGAACAATTGCCGCCAATAATGAAAAGTGGACTTACAAAACACTTTCCGGACGTTTAGGAATTGCAAATGACCAAAATAACTCTTCATCTTTCATCAAATATTTTTAATTCAAATATACTACACCAGGGCCCCACCAGGTGAATCATCCTGTGGTACTACCCTGTCTACCCAAGACATTGTATCCAGGGACTGGTGGGCTGTACGAACAGTGAACTGGATTAAACTGTCGAACAATGAACTGTTGATATTTTTTCTGAACTTTTGATAGTTTGTATGCAGTAATCAAAACTGTGTAAGTTAGGGCTTCTTATAATATTGAGCAGTTGTTCACAATGTCATGAGTGTTTAGGCCCAATCTGATTCCTGTACATTAGTCTGCAAACTGTAAGTTTGTTACTGGTGACCAACTTGTGTACACATAACGCTGTACTGTATCTGCTAAGCAACAGCAATCTTTATTATCTTGCAAACTGCATTGCGTACACTGTTGCTAGCGAATTTGTGGTGAACCAAAAACGGGGCAAAATGGCCAAGTTCCCAGAAATGAACTGGCAAAGCACAGGACTTGTCAGAGGAGTTCAAGCTCTTCAAACAACGCATGATCCTGTGCATTCAAGATAGCGACATCAGGCAGCCTGAAAAACAGGTCATCAAAATAAAGATTGCTGTGGTTACTGAAGGCTTAAGGCGACTCAGTACTTCAGGTCTCTCTGAAGAAGACCAACGTAATCCAGATAGGGTGTGGTCATTAAGGCGCTCATCAAGCAAATCACCTGGCAGACGACGCCGCCAGTCGCGAAGCACATCCAGAAGGCGTAGTAACCGCAGCTGCGCCTCCACTCGCAGTTGTTCCAAGGAATGCAACCCCAACCGTGCTACTGAAGAGCAAGACTACCTGGATAACCAGTCCACAATGGATACACCTCCTGAGATGTTCAACTCTATTACTCTATCTGTGTCAGACTTATGTACGGCAGCAGAGCATCGGCGAGGACCAGCTGAGGCATTCACCACACTTGACGTTATTTGCCCTAATCGTCTCCGGCGGCACCACCTCCACGTCAAGGTTGACTCCACATCATGGAGACGAATGGGGAAGCCAGCTTACCCCCACCTCAACCAAGTTAAAGGCGTACATTGGTTCCGAAATCATTTGTCATGGCCAAATACACATCATGTGTAGGTAAAAGCAGTGTAACTGGCATTGTGAGAAGTTCTTTGTCGTAGATGTGCCAGGACCAGCAATTGCAGGTCTCCCCAGGCCCACGAGCCAAACCCTGCACCTGGTAACGATCCACACTGTTACGCATGGCCCACAGTCTCCGACCATGCCGGGGTCCACAGCGTAGCCACATGCCAGCCCCAATGCCCGAGTTTGAGACATCCAAGTTCTCAGGGAGCGTTACCCGAAGCAGTTTGATGCCTTAGGTGACTTCAAGACACCTGCTCGCTTGCACTTCAAGCCCGATGCTGAACTGCACACAGATCCACCTCGGAAATACAGTGTAGGCTACACGTCAAACCTAAATTGCAAGCCGAGCTGAACAAAATGGAGCAAAATGGGGTAATTCGTAAAATTTCAAAACACACAGACTGGTGCTGCTCCATCAAGACATCCGTGAAGAGGGGCTGCTCCCTCAGAGTGTGTCTGGACCCAAAGCAGTTAAACAACAGTCTAAAGCGGTGTCCACATAAGATACCCACTATGGAAGAACTCAACCCACAATTTGCACAGGCGAGGTTTTTCTCCAAATTAGATGCCAAATCAGGTTATTGGTCAGTTCGCCTAGCAGAGGAATCCGAGGAGCTGACAACATTTCGTACTCCCTTTGGCCGCTACTGCTTTCGTCGTTTACCCTTTGGCCTATCTGTGAGTCAGGACATATTTCATGCAGCAGCACATGGATCGCATCACAAGCCAGGTGCCCGGATGTGTGGGCATCGCAGATGACGTGGCAGTCTTTGTGCGCACTGAACAGGAGCATGATGAACTCGTCATTTATCTGATGGAAACCGCTCAGCGAGAGGGTGTGGTATTCAACAGCGCCAAAAGTGAGATAAAGGTCAAGCAGATACATTTCTTTGGCTCCATCTACTTTTCTGACAGTATCCATCCTGATCCAGACAGAGTCACAGATATCCACGCTATGCCCACACCACAGGACAAGGACGACCTCAAACGATTCCTTGGCATAGTGAACTTCGTCTCACCGTACATACCGAAATGTGCAGATAAGGCTTCTCCCCTGCGTGACCTTCTACAGAAGGAAGTACCGTATCTCACCACAGTCATGCCTGCGATTCTACGATCCTAAGATCGATGCCGTTCTGGAGGTGGATGCATCTCAACGTGGGCTTGGAGCGTGTATCACTCAAGAAGGGAAACCCATTTCATTTGCCTCAAAGAGCGTGTCCGACTCTCAGAGCACATACTCCAACATCGAGAGAGAAGCTCTGTCCCTTGTATTCGGCATCAAGAAGTTCCATACTTATTTGCTTGGATGCAGATTCACCGTCTACACTGACCATAAGCCGCTGGTCACAATCTGGCGCAAACCACTTGCAAGTGCACCACCACGCTTGCAACGCCTCCTCATCAAGCTGCAAGGTTATGACTTTAACGTTGTCTACAAACCAGGTTCAACGATGGTGATTGCAGATGCACTCAGCAGACTACCCAACCTTTCCAAGCTGGACGATGTACTGCTTGATGAAACGACTGCCGAGGTGGACACAGATAAGCATCCAATCATCCAACAGGTTCATCTCGTCCATTTTGGGCGAGCCCGACAAGACATGCTCCAGCAAGAGACAGCCAACGATCCAGTTCTTTCAGAACTACAGCGAGTGATCTACTCAGGGTGGCCAGACTCCGTCAAAGACCTTCCTCGTGACCTACGATCATATTTGTCCTACCAGGAGGAACTCGGATTGTCATGTGGGGTCATCTTCAGAGGGCGACAAGTGTTGATCCCCGAGTCCATGCGTGAGGGCATTCTAAACGACCTTCACACTGGTCATTGAGGCATTGAAAAGAGCAGACGTCTAGCACGTGACTCTTTCTTCTGGCCGAAGATAAACAACCACATACGACAGATGGATCCTCATACAGAACTTGTTAGGAACACCAGCCTCGACAACACAACGAACCTCTCCAACCACACGAAGTCCCGACTACACCCTGGACTAAGCTTGGCACAAATCTCTTCATGTTTGCCAATGAGACATACCTCCCCGTTGTGGATTATCACTCTTAGTTCCCTGTTGTTCGTAAATTGTCAAACACCAGTGAAGGGGTCGCGCGTGAAGCGGTAGAGATCTTCAGCCTACTCGGAGTATCTACAGGGATCATCTCTGATAATGGCCCACAGTTTGTTGGCCAGGCATACAGAGATATGTGTTCCAAGTAGTCAGTCATTCAGAGAACCTCCTCCCCCCGCTATCCACGTTGAAATGCATTAGCGGAGCGAATAGTTCGCACGGTCAAATCTGTCATGACAAAGTGCCACCAGTCAGGCCAGGATGTCGCACCAGTGCTTCTCAATCTTCGACCAGCACCAGTCGATTCCCATCTTCCTTCGCCTGTAGAAATCTCGCTTGGGCGCCCCATCCGAACAATACACCCTAGCAACAACCCTCTAGGCCCCATCCAGAACAGTAACAGATCCATGATCGCCTTGAGTATCGCAGACAGAGGATGAAGTCTGACCATGATGAGCATGCTGGCCCAGATCTCCAACCATTATAAGTTGGGCACTAAGTGGAAACCACATGGACCCCTGGCACAGTCACCAAGGTCTGTGAACAACCACGATCATACGAGGTTATAACTCCTAATGGCACCAATGTGAGACGCAACCGTTCTCACTTGCATGAACTTCTTGCAAATCAGTCTGACGGTCGATCAAACCCAAATGCATCGACAACTGCCAAGCGCGTTCGCTTTGATGACCGCCCTCCCCGCATTATGTAACTCCTCCACAAGCACCAGACGATGGCGCACCAGGGCCTCCTCAAGGCAGCCAGAGGCCGAAAGCCAAGCGCACACCCCCTGTGCCGTGCAGTCAAACGACTAGATCTGGTCGCACAACACGCGTGCCAGCGAGATACACTGATGATTAGTTTCCTAGCTTGTAAGATGATGTGATGTGTTCCTGTTATGTGAACAAAACTTGTTCTGATTAACCTTTTGATAAACACTGTTCTGCAGATGATGCATTATATTAACTAGTTGAGAGGTTGAAGTTTATTGTTGAGCAACATTATGCAGATGACATGATGTTACTCGTGTTATCAAACAAACTGTCTCAAGCTTTCGCCAACCTGTTGCCAAGAGATCAGTTTAGAAGTGTTTGTGTAATGTTAGCACTGTAATGATTGCTTTATTATTCTTTGTTGGTTTAAACAAACAGAAATGGACATCTGTCAAAAACGGGGAAAACCCTACTTTTTTTTCAAAATGGGGGATGTAGTAATATGCAAATGTATATTATGTGACACGCAGCCATGTACATGCAGGACATAGGTCATGCAATAAATCCTCCATGCAGCCCATGTCCGCCAGCCTGATGTGCCGCTGTGTCCAAGTCATTTCTCATCAATCCGCTAACGCAACAATCATGACGTCTGCGACCATACGTCTGCAATCATACGTATGAAGCCAAACCACGGTGGTTGTGTTTGTATTGCGCATGTCCAATGCCCATGGTTTTTTGAAAATGGCGTCGTCCGTAAAATTACACTCTGGCGCCCGCTGTTGTCGGTCTATAGGTTATTTATGTCTGTGGTGGCAAGGGTGAGGCTATAAGCCAGGCACTCCGTGCATGACGTCACTACGCAAAACATCACTGCATGAAAACCCATTTACTGAACACAGATATGGTGGGCCGACTACACTGTGAACATGGAGGAAGGAACAACACGCTCACGACTAGGTCACGCGTGCACGATGAGATACAATTGGGTATTCGTACATGGGCAGTTGAACGGAGCCACACGCGTAGTGACGTCACGCCCAGAGTGCCTTGCTTTTAGCCCCACCCGTGGTGGCAATAAGAATTAGAGGCCGATTCAAAAGGGCGCCCTATAGGGCTCAACATTGGGAAATTATTCTTGTGAAAAATGAGGATCCTTCCATTACATTTCTTCCAAGCTTGATTTACAACACAAAAGAAAACAAAAGAAATCTCTTTTTGGGGTATGAATATCCACATCTTCAAGTGGGGTAGATTGACTCCCTGGTAGACTGCCTTTTGAAAGGGTTACGGCGCCTTTTCATTTGTAGTTTAAATAATCATATTTACATGAGGGCCACGGGTGGGGGACCCTAAAAAGAACGAAAAAAAGAAAAGAAAACAGCCAAAGAAATGAAAATTAGCAGTGAAGTAGAACTTATTGTTTGCTTGAGAAAAAAAAAAAGAAAAAAGAGAAAAATCAAACTTCTTCCAGCAGTTAAATGTTACAGTTCTAACTATACGGTTGTCGACTGCTCCCCAAATTCTGGCGAGAACTAGCATGCAAAGTTTTAGTCAATACGTGTTGCCATTTCAGACCAAACCTCGATGCTCATATCAATCTAACATTAAAATCTGCCATGATTTAGGAGATTTCAGCCGGCAAAAAGAAAAATAAAGTGAAGGTGAATTGAAAGGAAAACGAACACACACTGTTATGCTTACGCACGGTCTTTGCATGTGTGGCAGATGATGTAGTGGTACCGCTGCTCTGTCTTTGTGTTGGAAAACAAGCTATGTTGAAATCTAAGCGAGGGTGAAAAATGCAACTACCCAATAGTTTAGATCGTTTCAACCCAACTTTGGTGATTGAAATTAATTTCTGGATAGTTTTAACAAAACAGTGATTAATATCCACTCATTTTCTGGGTTAAAACTGATACAGAAAGTGATTCTCAACCCCAAATTGGGTTAAGACAGCCCATATTTTGGTAGTTGCAGTTTTCACCCTTCCTTGGGATAAAATTTAACCCATGCAGTTTTCAGTGTATTGAAATATTCGCTGCAGCGGGATATCAATTTGACGCCGCGGTAAGATCTTAGAATTCACCGCGGCGAGATACACATTCAATGATTTAATTTGTAGCAGCGAGATAGTAACTCCCCGCGGCGAGGTAGAATCTCGAAATATTTTTTTTTCAATTGGCGCTTTTACACCTCCGTAGTCAACAATGTACAACAAGAAAAGCAGATGTTCGTCGCTGTGTGTCTATCCGGTGCATAAGTGACTTCGTCACAAAGGCGGACACGCCACGATTTGCAGGCTCTCATTGGACAATCGCTGAAATTGCCCGTTAACTTCCGGTTCCATGGTTCCATGTAAACAGCGATCAATGCATGTAACCCTATGTGCAGTGCACGTGTGTAGTGGGCGTGGTGTATACTGAAGTGACGTCACACTTACGAACCGGACAGGCGAGTTTTACGCGCACGTGTACAAACTAAATGGCCACCGTGAATATGTGTGACGCACAGAGTCGAGTTTCATCCATCCTGGGATAATTGTGTAAAAGTCACGACCTGTGCCTGTTTAAAGTTCATTTTCAACATACAACGATTTTATCTTCTAACTACTGTTCATCACTATCATGTGACGATCACGTTCTGCAAATCCACACGCAGACAGGTGGTCCATGTTTTTAGCTCTATAGTATTCTACGACAAATCATTTTCAATCATGAAACTTTCTAAGACCAACACGGTGGTTTTGATTTCCTGCGTATGCTTAATTGGCACATGCTACGCGACAATGCCCAAGTGTACTAAAATTGATGACTGCTCGTGCCGAATACCCGACGGTAAGGAGATCAACATCAGATCGTTGGGTTATAATGGGAGCCGAGCCCCAAGGTTTGTTTTTCTGTTTGCTCATTTTATTGTTAGTCACTAATCCTACATCCGTTTAAACATGACCTTGCAGGAGGCATTAAAAGAGATATGAAGTACGATATTTATGATTGATTACATTTAGAGAGACTTTATGCAATGTTACTGTGACTTTCCACGACCTTTGCAGCAGCTGAAATTTTCAAATTTCAAAATGATGGTTAGACATGACAAATTTTAAATGAAATTTCCAAACTCATGACCAAAGCGTGAAATCATCCAAGGCAAAACAGTACGCCTAGTGTTCGGTAGCTCAGTGTGTATCTTTTCCATTGCTAGTTTTGGGGAGAGCCTTGTGTGACAAAAGAAAAATAGTGCCCTCAAATATGGATTGATGGAACATAATAGTAATGTGCATGAAGACAAGTTGAGCTGAATTTCCACTGCAGATTTCCTCTAACCCATTTTCCAAGAGAATTGCCTTTTCGTTTAAACTTCAGAAGGGAAAGTTCTTTCACGATATTTATTCTTTTTGCCGAGTTTATAGGTTCGGGTTTGCACAAGCTTGGGGACCTTGGGAATATGCATACAACCCGTGCTATGCTTGGACAGATTCAAACAAGTGCAGAAACATTGTTGTAAGTACCTTTATATAGGAGCCATAATTTCATGTGATTGCCAGTACAGCCTGGATCTGTCATGTATACCATCACATGTACATGAAATTAGTTGAAATGAAGGTCCTCATATAGCTTGTTTGAGGCATATAGGCCTTGTTCGGGAAATCGGGTCATGCTGTATTCCTCCACACACCCCAATCAAGAGAATAAATGAGGCAGAAATTCGCCCACAAACTCCAAACGTGAACAGAACCAACACGTGCATTTCAGATAAGTCATAATAGAACGATAAAAGCAAATGCGTGATTTAATTCTATCGTTCCCGGCTATCAATCGAGAGAATTAGACGTTAAAATAAAACACGTCACTTTTTATTGCCAGAACCGAGGGCCAGTTTTGCAAATACCAAAAGGAAAAAAAAAGAAATTCGACAAAGATACCGAACTTCCAAATGGAATATTTTACAGTATTTCCAAGACGTTGCCGGATAATCTGATGAAAGAAACAGTATAATTTAGAGACATAAGCCCTCATTTGTCATTTCATACTCAAGGCTATTTTTACTTGGTTCACCTTACGTTTTCAAAAGATGGAAGGCTGATTATTCGTACAGAGCTCAAAGGTTAAAGGGCAAGATCCATTGTGGTCTATATCTCTGGCAGAATGTTTAACCTCGGTTTAATAGTAAATGATGTGATGCTCTTTTATCTTTTTTTTGTCCCATAGGCTTGCCAACAGAGTACCGATTTTCTTTCGGAATTCGCTATTGGCGATCCCACAGCAACGTGGACACATGATGACAGAAATTACAATATTGAGTATTCTAGCCTGGGAGATGATAACATAACGAGGTAGGGCCATTTTATCGGTGCAGGAAATGTTCCGCATGCATGTAATACCCAAATAGTGTGCTATATGGTAAAAGTTCCGCTCATGCACTGTTCCCGGTCCCCCGATAAATTCACTCCCAAATAGTAACAGGTGCCTCGTTTAAAACTTATCGGCGTTGATACCATCGAAAATTGTGATGGTTTGATACATTGAAAATTCTTGTAGAGAATTTTGTCTTAAAATCTGTTTTATGGTCGGGTGCCGTAATCCATTTAAGCTGTGAGTTTGACCGAATGAATGGCGAACTGGAGTCGCTAACCGACGGTGCGGGCCTTGGTCATGGAGTGCTGTTGATGATGGAATCATTCAGCGGCATAAATCTGTGCTGGAAATTGGGGGGCGTGCGTGATAGGAAAAGGTGGGGGTGACATGAAAATTTGGAGGGGGGGGTTGACACAGTATGACTCCATATAAAGGTCGATGTTCATGATATCAGTGTACATCTGTAATGTATTGAGAATGACATGTTCATGGCTTTTTAAATGGTTGTCATTTTTTTGAGTGATAGGCCTACTGAATGCATTTTAGTCTTTGGAAGTTTGAAAAATTATTCATAATATGCTTTAATTCTTGTTCCCAACTAACAAGTGATTCAATAGCCATGATTCCCCATCTCAAAACGTGGAGGGATAAATCCCTCAGGATTTACGCCCATGGTATATTATAATTTTGCCACTAGGAAACCAATCCGTCACCATACCACACAGAAACCATTACGCCGCGCGTTCACAACTGATATGTATCTCTGATTGGGCAAAACAACCACAGAATCTGAATTCTGAGAAAACATAACTTGAGACGACCATTCGTCGACCTCAATAGGCATTCTGAGGTGTGGATGAGGACGATAATAAAGGTTTGACAGTTGGCACGGAGTGAGCCGGGCGATAAAAAGGGGGGGGGGAGTGGCGGTAAAGATTTGAATAACTGTAACTTTCCACAACACAAACCCTGTTTAGCTAAGTTAACCTACATGCTCTTTTATTCTATGCGACAGGACATCAGTGGTGAAATTGGTGTGTGATGTAAAAGCCGATGAGCCCACTTTAGAAATGTTTGGCTTTTCGCCTGTTGGTCCTGCACATGTAGAGTATGTAAGTGTGTCTATTTAGGATCTAGATTTGAATGTTTGCATTTTTATTATTAATAACTGAAATTCAAGGCTCGAGATATTGGGAATGTTTGTGTTGTGTGAACCGCATGAATGTCAAGTTGTAACAAAGTTTTACATATTCAAGGCACACACCTTTTATTTGTTTGAATCTGAATATATTCAAATTGACATTTGGAAGAATACATGAATATCTTCCTTTCACTTGTTTTGTTGCATGCTGTATTGATATCATTCGGCAATATCCCGATGCAGACGGGAAAATGGTTGGTGAAATATCCAACAACTTCCACATGGCAGACAGCACGAACTAGGTCTACACGTAGAGACAATTACTTTTGCATTCCCCACGATTTGAAAATGTCCGTATACAAACATTAACTGTAAGAAATCAGAAATACCGGGGAATATATGCATGGATATGACTTTTTAGTGGGCTACCGTGTCTGTTCAACAAGTCGTTCCGTTGTTTTAATTCTCCACACGATCACGATCAAAACATTAAAAAAAGATAACCTCCCGGTACGTCCTCTTTCTTTCGTTTGGATAAAATCATCTTTTTGCTGCTGTTTCATGTTTGCCAGGATTTCACCTTAACATCCAAGTGTGCCTGCCCAGGGTTTTGTCCATCCTCTACAGCAACAAACAAGCCAACATTTAATCCCCTACATTGTGGCATGATCAGTCCAGGATCTGTCCTTTTTATCATGTAAGTCAAGTTTTTGGTCTTTCAAGCTAAGACCTTTTCCATATTTGCATCTTATTCTGGCCAAGTTGTAAGAGTCATCTTCAGCTACAAAATTTTGCAAAACCAACACCAACAGGTTTATAGCTCCAATTTGTTTGGATATTTACCAGCTGAGGGCGCTAGCGTCAAGTCTATTAATGGGAATAGAGGGATTTCACATTAGCGCTGTCTGCGCATATCTGCATCGAAACCGAGGCTCTGTGTTGAATTTCGTCGCGCGCGCCCGCGGAGTCGACACAGTACATGGAGTATATGGTTCGTAAGTGTGACGCCACTTCAGTTTATAAAAACCACGCCCACTGCACAAGATACACGACCATCGCAGGTACGTTAGTTGCGGTCAATTGTTGTTATTTTTTCTTTTGATTTTACGTGTTGAGTAATCTTGAAAGACTCTTCCACAAAAATTTGAAGTCTGAAAAGTCTGAATTTAACATACCTTTATGTATTTTGTGTCTTGACTCCTTACTTTCAATGGTCTGATCGAACTAAGAATTGAAGCTGACACATACAGCCTCGTTTTCAAACGCAAAAGTGTGCAGATCGATGCTAAAAGCGTCGTATTGGGATCCCTCTATAGAATGTATCTTTATCGGTGGCCGTATTCGAGCGCTTTGGACTGCGGAAGCCCTCTCCGTATGGACATTTATTGCTTCGGCCGCAGCCTGATGATGGCCGTGGGGTAAATGCGTCATAATAAAATAATCTTAGGCCATTATTATGAACATCAACTGCACTTCAGCTCGTTGTCTTTGCCTGGTATTTAAAAAAATGTCGTAAAATACAGTAACATAAAACGCTGTATTTTACTTACTAATATTTTTCGCCCCCCCCCTACCTCGGGGGTTGACAGACTGAGACAATAAGTTTATCAAATCGTGGAACTATAATCCGTTTTATAGCTTCATGAGCTTCAGATTTTCCACAGGGAGTCCAGCCTGACACTTCGGTATTTGCAACCATGTTTATATTCCAGCGTTCCAGTGTTGATAGTGGTGTACCTGGTTGCGGGAGTTCTCTTCATGAAATTCGTGCGCCATGCTGAGGGGACGGAGTTAATACCCAACAGAGACATACGGACTAATCTGTTCGGCAGCATTCGGGTAGGACAATCGTTTGTGACAGCTCCATCAAAATAAGGAATAAGGATGCCTCCGGGAATTATATGTCGATTTTTTTTTCCATTTGATAAAGGGGGGGTGGATATTTAACGGAAGAAAGGTTTGAAAATCCTTATACAGAAACGGATTGCATAGCTTCCATATTGCAGGCCAGTGTTTTTGTTCCACAGTGCATGCATGCACAAACGAGGTTTCCCTGTGGAACAAAAGAACTGCCCTACATGATGGCTACCACGCAAAGCCCCAATTGCTTTTTCAAATGCATTTAATCCTTATTCATAAATACCTGGAACAGTTTTTCTATTCCTATTCGGCAAAACAGGTCACCTGACCGTGTGTTAACATTTTGATAATGTCCGCTGCGTAAATGACGCTCTGGCATATGGATACTTAATTGGGCTTGATTGGTCAGGAGTCTGTGTGCACGCGACGCACAACGCGCACGCCAGGTTCATTGAAAGGGGGTTCAATTGTACAACGAATGAAAATAAAGTTTTAGAACAAAATCATCGGAAATCCATCACATATTGATTTCTTTTGACTCTGAATAAAAGGTATTTATGAATAGGAATAAATATGTGCTTGGCCAGTCCCTATCGTTAAGACCTTGCTCAGGAGAACGAACCCCGAGTGCCTTCGCTTGCGGCTCAAGCATTAGTCGCGTCTATTCTCCACAGTCGGCCTTGAACGCACGTTTAGACTTGCCAATTATTCCCTTAATATAAAATACTTAACCAGCGTATTTCCACAGTAGACGAAGGCCACTGGCAAAGCTGTGAGAATACTCTGTTCATCACAAACATTTGACTTATTTTGCCTTGTACACAATACTCCGTTTTGCTCTGTCCCTTTTTTGCTTAGGATGGTTGCAAGAATGTCTTCACCAGCGGGAAGAAGCCTGGACATGACAAGTTACAAAGTGAAATAATTTGACGGGCTGTATAGGCCCTTTGCTGATAATTATCGTGTGCGACATGAATGGATTTCGAGAAGTAAACTCACATACGGTAATGGTTTAACAATACTTTTCAAGAAAACTGTAACCTGGTGACAATTCGAGGTTTTTTTTATCTCAACAGATTAGACCTTATTCAAGAGGGAAGCCATTTTTTGTCCTTGCTTTATTCCATCGTACTGGATGTAATGTGTGAAATGGGGTGGTTCCAGACTACATGTAGTTGAGGCTCAAATCTCACTTTGTTTTTATGTTTTCTGATTTTCTGTATTTTTTGCTAATGATGCTTGAAACCTTTGGACAGAAGTTATCACAACTCTTGAATTATTCTAAATCAAACTTGGCATGAATTTGTATGAACTTTTATTTCATTGCTCCGCTATTATTTTTAATCTGGGGTTCCTAAAACGAAAGGTTTTACCTCACTTTCAGTTCCTGATGAATGAATACAGTCGACTGACGTCGGTTTAGAAAGGGTCCTCCAAAATAATTGACATTTTCGCTGTATCTTAAAGGGCGTGCGGGTGAACTACCAGCGAAGAAACTGGTGAAGAAAACTGAGTATGGAAAATGGAAAAATGTTCAGGTATATTCTGTGGGCGAGAGCACAAAACGCTATAGGGGCAACATTTTTCGCTGGTAATCTGCATCCGTTAAACCTTTGTGTACAGAGGTATAGGAAACGGAATATTCATGCATCAAATTTAGTGCTTGCGCAATTGTTCATATTACGCCGAGTGCCCTAAATGTACATGTGCAGTTGTCACAAGTCCTCCTAAAAGGCCTTGGAAATGGTACCTTTGAACTAAAACTCTGAAAAGAACGACTCAGAGAAAATATAGGACCAAACACGATGAAATATAGCTCAACACATTTAATATATGAATCCCCCTTTAAATACCACTAATTACACACCTTAAATACATTCAAAGCAAATCTCGAGGAGAACATATCAAAATTAAAAGATACTGATGGGCACTTGTGGTCTTTGGTCCGGGTTTCGGTTTGAGGCGGGTCCTGCTGTCGTCCTCGGGGTTAGTGTCATCCTTGCACGGCACATCAGAGGGGCCGGGGAACGTCTACCCGTCAAGCAAGACCCAATTCCAAGATAAAAAGCCCTATTTGTAATACAAAATCCATTTCGATTAAATACAGTTTCAAACGATTTCTGACCAATCACTTTCACTACATTTCCAAAGTTTCGGATTATCACTTGAATAATTTGCCACAGTGTCTATTTGATAAAGATCTCCCAAAACATTACGACGTGTTGTTCCTTTTAATCAAACAATTGCTTTAACAAAACTTCATCATGGACCCATGATCTACAACGTTCTTTCCAATAATAAATTAACAGGACTTCACGGAATTTTGTTGCAGTTTTTATACAAAATAAAATACTGATCAGGTAACCTGGCATGGCTGTCAAGTTTGAAGATGTGGGTGACGAGGTGACAAGACTTCTATACTGCTGGCATTCTCACTGGCAGCTCGGTGCTCTCAAACTCCCAAATACGACGCACTATTTGCGAAAACGAACCAATCCCTGATCAAACGTATCGGTCCAACCTGGGGGATGAGCGGGTTAGACCGGCCTCTAATGCCCCAACGTAGTGCCAGCAGTCAATCTCGTCACCAAGTGCCGAGCTGATGCCCCTCCCAAGGTTTTTATACGGAAACGCAATGCATTGTCCCAAATTCCTTAAAACCGTACCAACTAAACTGGAATGGTCGCGGCCAATGAACATTCTTTTCTTGTTGTCCAACGACTATTGACTACTGACCAGAGTCCAGTCCATACTTTTCAACCATTCACCAAGTACTTAATATAAAGTCACAGGCACTGGCCTGGGCATTTCGTCTGACAGTGAATACCTTGAACCATTCAGTTCAATTGAACCACAACGTTCTGGAATTTGGCACAATTTTAAGTTAACAAAACACGGCACGTTTCTATCATAAAACAAAAATCTCTTTTAAATGAAATCAAACTGTGACAGCAGTCATTGCCCTTTATGAGCTCTTTCTTCTGGAATTATTTTGGTAATAAATAGTCCCGTTGTTTACAGTATTTTGTGTTTTGTTTGAATCCTTTTTATTATGTCATTTGTACAAAAGCGTATTTTATGAGATTTCGCGATCACTTCCAGTGATGAAATAGCGCATTTTGTTCCTAATGAACTGAGCTTTCCATTAGTAGTCAACAATTTGTTGGCCAGTCTTAGCCGAATTCGTACCCAGTCTTTGAACACTGATGTATTGGAGGGAGGAGAATAAAATTACAGACTTTGCATGGATTATGGAACAGTCTATCAACACTGGAAAAGTTTATTCACAATGAAAAAGTAGGTCTAATATCAAGGGTTATTCTCCTGTCGGTATATCCTGGTCACATCGATAAAGTGTTTTTAATTGTAAGCAAAAACTACAAGTATTGCTAGGATGTCACTGGCCCCGCTTGTCCGGCTAAGATGCAGGCAGGAATCAAGCATTTTGGGAATGTTTTCTATTATTCGTCTGACTCGGCAGCGACCGTCATAGAACACTTTGAAGTGCCAGACTGCAAATTCTTCTGTGTCCTTCCTCTACGGTAAAATGGAAGGTGCAGTTAGTTTAAGAAACCGGTTAGGATTAATAATTGCTCTAGATTATATCATACGCAAGGGAAACGAACTTGATCGGACTAAAACGAGAGTAACTTGAAATCTCCAACTGAACCATGTCGGGTGATTAAATCTACTATCCTGCTCCATGCAGCTCCTCTTTTGAAAATACGATACCTGGCAATTTGTGGTTCTTTATAGATGGATCCCAATACGACGCTTTTAGCGTCGATCTGCGCACTTCCGCGTTTGAAAACGAGGCCGTATGTGTCATATATGTCATATAATTCAATTCTTAATACGATCAGACGATTGAAAGTAAGGAGTCAAGACACAAAATACATAAAGGTATGTTAAATTCAGACTTTTCAGGCTGCAAATTTTTGTGGAAGAGTCTTTCAGGATGACTTGACTCGTACAATCAAAAGAAAAAATAACGAAAATTGACCGCGAACTAACGTACCGGCGATGGTCGTGTAACTTATGCAGTGGGCGTGGTTTAAACTGAAGTGGCGCCACACTTGCGAACCGGATACTCGACGTACTGTGTGGACTCCGCGGTCGCGCGCGAAGAAGTTCAACACAGAGAACCTCGGTTGCGATGCAGATATGCGCAGACGGCGCTAAAGTGCAATCCCTCTATTGGTGCAACGTACCGTTTCCACGTACAAGGTCGTCCTTTTCACCCCTGTGCGCAGGGTAATTGTGCAAACAATCGCGACCTGTTTAAAGTTCAATTCCAACATACAACGATTTTATGTTCTTACAACGATCCATCGCTATCATGTGACAATCACATTTTCTGCAAATTTACACGCAGACAGGTGGTCCATACGTGTTTAGCTCCATGGTCTTCTACCACAAATCATTTTCAATTATGAAACTTTCCAAGACCAATACGGTGGCTTTGATTTCCTGCGTATGCTTAATTGGCATGTGCTACGCAGCAGTGCCCAAGTGTACTAAAATTGATGACTGCTCGTGCCGGATACCCGACGGTAAGGAGATCAACATCAGATCGTTGGGTTATAATGGGAACCGAGCCCCAAGGTTTGTTTTTCTGTTTGCTTGTTTTGTGTGTTAGTCACAAATTCTAGACCTGTTTTAAACATGAACCTTAATTGCATGTAGCACTCATCAAAGGAGACATGAAATACGATATTTATGATTGGTTACATGTAGGGAAGATTTATGCCAATGTTACTGTGACTTTCCACCACCTTTGTAGCTGCAAAAGGGCGACATTTCAAAATAATGGTTATTAAACATTTATATGTTAATGAAATTTCATGACCAAAGCGTGAAGTCAACCAAGGCAAAACAGTCTAGGCCTAGTGTTTGGTAGTTGAGTGTGCCGATAGATTTAATTTCTGTTGTTGTGTGTGATTTTGAAGGGTGACTTTTTTGCTTTTGAGGAGCGCCTTGTGTGACAAAAGAAAAAGACTGTCCTCAAATATGGATTGATGAAAGGATTTTCTACGATTAGAATGGTACCACCTTCTTGTCGCTCCTAATTTTTTTTATTGTTGTACATAGTAATGTGCTTGAGCACAAGTTGAGCTGAATTTCCACTGCTCATTTCCTCTAACCCATTTTCCAAGAGAATTGTCCTGAAACTTGAGAAAAGCTGGGAAAAATCTTTTATATTTAATTCTTCTCCGTGTTTATAGGTTTGGGTTTGAACAAGCTGGCGCATGGAAGTATGCATACAACCCTTGCTATGCTTGGACAGCTTCAAGCAAGTGCCAAGGCGTTGTCGTGAGTACATTTATTTTGAGGGCCATAATTTGTGATTACCAATATTGCCAGGACCTTTCGTGAATACCATCACATGTACATTAAATTATATGTAATGAGGGTCCTGATATTGGTTGTTTGCGGCTTAAAGGCCTCGTTCGGGAAATTGGGTCATGCTGTTTTCCCCCACACCCCCAACCCAAAAATTAAATGATGGAGAAATTAACCTACAAACTCCAAACGTGAACAGAACCAACACGTGCATTTCAGATAAGTCATAATAGAACGATAAAAGCAAATGCGTCATTTCATATTCAAGGCTATTTTACTTGGTTCACTTTACATTTTCAAAAGATGGAAGGCTGATTATACGTACCAACCTCAAAGATTAAAAGGCACGCTGGTCCATATCCCTGGCAGACTGCTTTACCTCTGTCTGTTTAATAGTAAATTATGTGGTGCTGTTTTGTCTTTTTTTCTTTTAGGCTTGCCAACAGGGCATCGATTCTCTTTCGGAATTCCCTATTGGCGATCCCTCAGCAACGTGGAAAGATGATGGCATCAATTACAATATTGAGTATTCTAGCGTGGGAGATGATAAAAAAACGAGGTGTGGTCATTTTATCGGTACAGAAAATGTTCCAAATAATACCCAAATGCTGTGCTATATGGTAAAAGTTCCACTGATTAATAAGATCCTGTACACTGTTTCCGGTCCCCCGCTAAATTCACTCCCAAAAAGTAACTAGGCACCTCTTTTAAAACTTATCGGCGTTGATACCCTCGAAAATTGTGGTGGTCTGATAGATTAAAAATTCTTTTTTGTCTTAAAATCTGTTCTATATGGAATTCCATTACTGCCGTTTTACGCGTTGAATCGTCGCATCGACACGACAAACAAAATCTTAAAATCGAAGTAATGGACTGATCAGGAACTGTTAAATGAGTTATGGAGTGAAAAGTGGCATCTTGCAAATGTACAGTACTAAAGAAGGTCGCTTAGTTGAGAGAGGGGAAAATAATTACACCGTATCAACTGTCGGCAGGACTGTTCTTTCTGCAAGATGTTTTTTCAATCATTTAAAGGGTAAATGCCAGCCAGACTCATGCAATTCAAGTAACTTTGTACTAATTTCTCCTTAGCATTTTAGGGTTTTATCAGTCATACACAAAAGAGTACCATAAAAAGAGTAAAATTAATGTATAATTTTAAGGGAAATGGAAAAAACCCTGCAGTCAAGTTGGTCGGATAGGCACCAAAGAACTTCTTGCATGACGTCACAGAAGGATACGCTCCACGTGTCAGCACGAAGCAGTGTTCTTTGATGTGGAATCTAATGAAGTTGTGTTCATCTTTTTCAAGCAAAACTAGTTCTACACGACAAATGCTAAAAAGACTCCATAAATCATTTATATCGTAAGAGGCTTGACCCTTTTCCACAACGTGAGTAATTGCGCGAATTTTTATGAATCGTTTACTGGATAGAATTAGGTCATCAAGTCTGTGGTGGCAATCAAAACAGCGCCAACAACATACTAGCGAAAGAAAATCACAGAAAGTTGAAGCGACGATGCGACGGCACGACGAAGCGACGGTACGATACGACTACGCGCTGTTGACGGCGCATGTGCATGGCTTCAGGCTCAAACAACAACGCCGCACGTGGTCATCTGTCTGTTTGCTAACAGTACAGAGTTTTTTCGTACCCTTTATTTTTTTACTTTGATCGACTGATTAACTACACGAACGTTATAACGACAGCATTCCATCATGTCCTTTTTTCTCAAGCTATATGCAAGGTTTCAACCGAATGACAGATGTATTTCAGAAGATATTGGGAGTGTACCTTTAATGTCACGTGACCTGTCTCCTGATAATGTCATCATCACATCAGTTCAATATTCGTCAAGAACACTTCTCTTTGTAATTATGTGCAAAGTTTCAAACTGCCGATGGTGGGACATGTGTACTTCAGGAGATAAAGGCTGTAAAGAGTGCACCATTAATATCACGTGACTTGTCTCCTACCGACGTCATCATCACACGAGGTCATATTTCTCCTTAAACACTTTCCTTTCTAATTGTCCGCAAAGTTTCAACCCAATGGAACAGGTACTTCCATAGTTTTATGGTCGGGTGCCGCAATGCACAAAAGCTCTGAGTTTGACAGAGTGGGTGACGAACTGGCGTATAGGCCCTATAAGCGCTGGCATCATCCAGTGGCAAAAATCTGTGCTGGAATTGGGGGGCGTGGGAGATGGGGAAAGGTGGGAAGGCTGACACAGTATGACTCTATGTAGAGGTTGATGTTCATGATATCAATGTACATTCGTAACGTACTGAGAATTACATATTTATGGCATTTAAATTGTTTTCCCTTTTTGAGTGATAAGCCTACTGAGTGCATTTTAATCTTTGGAAGTCTGAAAAATTATTCACAATCCACTCGTATTTTTGTTCCCCACAAGAAAGTGGCGGATGGTTCAATAGTCCACCCCCTCAAAAAGTGTATGAGGGGAATATATAGCCCCATCCCCTGGGATTTACGCCCATGGCATCATCATAATTTGCGACTATAGGAAACCAGTCCGTCATCATACCACGCAGAAACCATTAAGCTGCTCGTTCACTGGAGTTGTTATGCCGACACATAGGGCCTATCTGCTTTTGGCAAAACAACCACAAAAACTGAATTTTGAGAAAAAGTAACGCGTGGAAGGTCCTTTTACTTGTGTGGAAATAAATGCCTTTGAAAATTCATGATGTGAGTGAAAGACTGGTTCAGAAACGGAGGTACGGAGTGCTTTGCAGAACAGAAAAAAGGTAGCGTCAACTTGAGGCGACTGGTCGTCGACCTCAATGGGCAGTCTGTTAGCTAAGTTAACCTACATGCTCTTTTATTCTATGCAACAGGACATCAGTTGTGAAACTGGTGTGTGACGAAAATGCCGAGGAACCTGTGTTACAAAGACATGGATCTAGACAACAAAGTCCTGTGACGTATGTAAGCATGTACAGCTTGCTTTGGACATTGAACGTCTGTACACCTGTTTGGCCTTAGCTGGATTGGAATATTTGCATTTTTATTATCAATTGCTATAATTTAAGGCTTATACGGGAAATGTAACGTGTTGAACGAACCAGATGAATGTCAAGTTGTAACAGTTCTTACAAATTCAAGACTCTCACATTTTGGTTGTTTGAATCTGATTATACACAAATTGACACTTGGAAGAATACACTGATATCTTCCTGTCACCTATTTTGTTGCTCTTCGGGTTGTAAAACTGAACAGGATTTCACCTTAACATCGAAGTGTGCCTGTCTAGGGATTTGTCAATCCGAACCAACAAACCTGCCAGGTCTCCAAGATGGCCTCAGTCCAGGATCTGTCCTTTGTATCATGTAAGTCACGCAAGGCCAGCAGGCCGTTAATATCAAAATATTTATAACATCGAACTATTTTCAAGGCGCACTCACAGTATCCATAATTCAAAGGAGGTGATATATTATCATTATCCCTGCACCTTGGGCTCGCAACATCCGAAAATTCCTGAAACTATCTCAGCTTTCTAAAGATATATACTAACCCGATGCTACCATTGGGCACAAACGGCTGAACAACCATATCCGCCCTCACATGTATTTCCCCCCGGGTGGAGAGAGGCACGTATGGGTAAGGTGACTTGCCCAAGATGACAACATGCTAATACCAGCTGGATACGAACCCCGACCCTGTCACAAGCTACCACCCTATGGTCAGAAGCTAGTTATCAGAAGCTGCCACCCTATGGTCAGAAGCTAGTTATTAGAAGCTACGACCCTATGTTCAGAAGCTAGTTATCAGAAGCTACGACCCTATGGTCAGAAGCTAGTTATTAGAAGCTACGACCCTATGGTCAGAAGCTAGTTATTAGAAGCTACGACCCTATGGTCAGAAGCTAGTTATTAGAAGCTACGACCCTATGTTCAGAAGCTAGTTATTAGAAGCTACCACCCTATGGTCAGAAGCTAGTTATTAGAAGCTACCACCCTATGATCAGAAGCTACAAATCCCAAGCATAATGCGCATTAGGCCAAATGCCCCCTTGTCATTCTATTCCAGATATATTTATAGATAATACTAAAATTCAGAAAACTTACTCTACTAAACTTCTGGGAGTGTATGTTGATAAAGATCTATCATACATCATAATTACATTCGTTCAATAATATCTAGGAATATGGGAATAATATGTCACCTTAAAACATATATCTTCCATAAAACATTTTATTAACTTTGTATAATACTCTGATTCTACTATACCTTTCATATGGAATACTTGCCTGGGGCTGCTGTGGCATTAGCCATATAGAGAGAATACTCAATACTCATATTTATTATACCCGGCTTGGAACCCTTATGCACCAAGTAAATTATGTACCTGCGTATATTTACAAGACAGTTCAGCGAATTTCATCGCTCCTGTGTTTTTAGAGACTCCCCTCCACACTTACGTGGAAAATAAAGTGAACCTTAACCTGGTGTGCTGATGGCATACGAAAAATTTCAGGGTCTCTAAAATATGGTCGGGTTCTATGAAACAAAAACACCAAACGTCATGCATACACGAAAAATATAGTTCAGTGTCTATCACAAAACTTCCGTTTTGGAAAAGCTTCGAAAAAGCGTAGTGCTTGCTCCAGTGGTACGAAATTGGTACATCTGTTGCCGTATACACGTGAAAGTCACGTTTTATGGTCTAAGGTGCTTCGTACTAACTCTCGGCTTTGAAACGAAAATTTTACATGGAAGCTAGGTATTTCGGGTTGTGTGTCTGTATGGTCTTCACCACATCTTTATTTGTAAACGATTAATTCTTCATCTTGTAGGATCTGATGGGCCAAGAGATTGAATCGTAAAGCTAAACGTAAGCCGTTTATCAGAATTCAGAAATTCTTGTAAAATAAAGCAATTTTTATTTTTCCAGTGTGTCAGTGTTGATTGTGGTCTACCTGGTTGCGGGAGTTCTCTTCATGAAATTTGCGCGCCATGCTGAGGGGACAGACCTAATACCCAATAGAGATATCTGGATTGTTTTGTTTTGCTCCATCAGGGTAAGACGTTTGTGATTGGCTCCGCCAGTCTCAGGAACCGGGGTGTCTAGGAAATTTAAAATTAGGATTTAGACATATCACCAGATTTTGTTCAAAGGTGTCCAATTTGGAGAGTTTGAAATCTTGGAAAATAGATTTTCAGGTGAACAGAGAGAAAAGTTTAAACATTATATGTAATGGTCTTTTAAAATTCATACTTAGTATTTCACTTGGGCTAGAGTTAAAAAAATTCTCATTTTTAAATTGCATACTGTGAAAAGCCAAGTTTCATATTCAAATTCAGCAAATTGTTTAAAATTTCAGTTTTAAGTTATACACGGTGTTTTCCAATTGCTTACTTTTTTCCCATACAGGACGGCTGTATATTTATCTTCACCTGTGGAAAGAAATCTGGATATGATGGAATGAAATGATGTGAAATGCTGCAGGATCCCCAAAAGCGCATACATGTAAAACTGGAAGTTTCAGCATATTTTAGTTTACAATTGCGACGTGAACGGTTTTTGAGAAACAAAATCAATGAATTTTAAACAGCTTACGGCCATGGTAAACAATATGATTCAAGGAAACTGTAACTGCAGAACTGCTGAGTTCCAAAAATAATTTTAATCCGTTGAAAGTGAAACCTATAGTTTTGATTTAAGAATTGAAATTAATGTTTCAATGAATTAGAATTAAATGTAAATGCACTTGTTACTGTCTGTACTTCATTTTATATTCCTTCTATATTGGTCATTTTTATCCTTTTTTTCAAAGCTCTCACTTTTTACTTTTTTAGGGGATGGAGGTTGCTAAGCACCCCCTCCCCTCAACCTCAAAGAGGGCTCCTGCTTATTGTTAGTGTTTACATACGGCCCTTGAAAATGGTATTATCTTTACATTTTGTTGATCGTTCCAAGTGAGTAATGAATGAAAAAGTTATAGAATTAAATGAGTAACTGTTTGTGGACAGCATCCCCTGTTCCTCTCTCAAGATAACACCCTCGAGTTTCTTGTCTGACCCTCTTAAGCACTAATCTGACACTATTACTGCAGTGGCATGCCCGTCAAGAACAGGTGGTCATCAGGCATTAAATTCATCCCAGACCAGTACAGTATTGGAGCTCGCCATTTATGTATTTGGGTCACGTTTATGAAAGCAGGCGCGAGTGTGATACTAGTCTGCATTACTGGCGTCTCATCAGACTGGTCTTTAAGTAAGCGACACCCTCACTGACTTGTTCAAGATGTTAGCTTAGCATTAAAATTATGCTGCAGGTTTTTTGTAAAGTACTTGTAAAATGTTCAGAATCGTTGATGTGATCAACCCTTTGCTATCATCATGCAGGCTACAACTATGTAAACTCCTATATGAACTGATGATTATTACAAATAAACATTAAAGTCACCACAATGAAACTGTAAATTGAGTGCCTTCAACTCTTTAAAATATATTAATAAATAAGTGTTTTACAAAAAACATTTCCTTAAAACAAGTTTTTACAATTGTACAACCTATATCTATGCATGTAAAAGTTGACGATTAAAGGCTTCAAAAAGAAAAGAAAAGAAATCCCCCCATAATTATGTTGTGTAGTATACATGTACTTAACTTATGCTGTGACTGTCTCCACACTTTTCATACGCAGCATTTTGGAATAAAAGTGAAAAAGGATTTTAAAAAGTCTAAATGTAGCCGACTTGGAGGAAGCTGACCATCCCTTGCACCTGAACACAAACACAAGTGCGAGTGTCCATAGTTACACTTTAAAATCCACTCTAACTTCCTGAAGAGAACCTTAGGGTGTCAGCTACTGACACCAAGGGATACCCTCAGTAGGAGCAAGGGCCCATGTCAGCCATCGGATGCCCAATGAAAGTCGGCCAACGCATCTGCTCCGTGCAAAAGTACCCCCTCGTTGGTGACAAAAAGACAGGCTGGGGTGAAGCATGGTCAACACTGCAGCCAATCCACAGATCATTTACAGGTTGATGTAAAATGTTAAAGTACATGATTGAGATCATCTGGTATTCAGTGAGAAGTTTCTGTCACGCAACCTGGAGTCCTTTCTGGTTGGGTGCCGCAACCTCCTCCCCAGTCATGAAATCCTCCTGTCAAAATGAAATGAATGAATAAGAAAAGAGGATATACTAATATTTCACGCACTGACATGTATTTCATTCAACCTCGTTAGCCTCACTACTATGAAACGCCTAACTCCGTACGTGATTGGGCAGTGCCCATCAAAACTGCATCACAAGTCATCCCAGTCTCAAACCAAGTCAGAATCTATTTCTTTATCTGAAGTTTATTTCACGGTGAAGGTGTCAAGTTAAGTAACAGGTTTGCTGCAGCACCAAACCTTTGTGACTATGTTCTTTTCTGAAATGAACAGTGTACTCTGTCCATTGTAAGGACAGCATGCTGTCCAAAGCGTTCAAAGCCCTCTGGTTCTCTTTCGAACCGCACACACAAACTCAAGAATGACACATCTCCCATGGTGCTACCATACACCTAATACTTAACCCCTGTTTTCAATCAACTTGTGAAGAGGCCTGTGAAAAGACTTGAGATGGTATCGCTTACAAGATTGACAAGGAGCCTGGCAGACTGATCCAGAAAGCCCTGTCTACTGACAGTTGTGAGTAACTAATACATTCTCCCCAAAATGTCATAATGAATGCTTCTATTGTGCAAACTTATGTGCATGCGTGTCTGACTTTTGTGCAAGTACATGTACGTCATTGGTCCGAAGAACAAGGGCTGGGTATCAAATTTCCTGCACTGAGCTGCGAAGACAATGTGCGCTAATGCATTTTGATTTGGCTGACGTAAGGAAACTAAAATATCCCTCCGTTTTAATTTCATCTCAAATCCTCAACATCTCTGAAAAAGTTGGCAACTCAAGGTTGAAACACACATTTCCAAAGTACTGCATAAAACCACCGTCCTTATCTGTGAAGTTTCAACATACACATGTACTTCTATGTAACTGAATTACAAGTTACAGCCTTGGAGTAGAAATAAAGGAATCTGACTTTTCTGTCAGGTTTGACTTCTCTAGAGTCACAGCATAAGAATACAATTACAATTATACTGCCAGAGTTGAACATGTGTAGGACGGAAGAATGATCTTATGCTCAAAACCTATCTAAAGACGAGTTCTTTGCTGATCCGGGGTGCAGTCTAGGTAACAGCATGGTCTAGGCCGTAATCTTGATCCTTCACTGGGACAGCTTTTGGCAACCACTCCTGTTACTGCATCAACCCTTCTCAAAATTCTTTTTTTCCAAAAATCACTTGCGATGACTTTACGCTTACCAGGTCGCAAATGACTTTGACGATGAGAGAGCAGCTTGGACAGGTAGCAACATCTTCTCCTTGACTGAGTTGCTCCTAGAAACATGAAATTGGTCATGGTGCACACGAATATAGATTACCAAATGATCAGACTGCAGTAGAGATTCTGAGGCTATTTCAATTGACATCCTTGTTACAGATATTTAGACGTGGAAAATGAAACGCGTCTACATCAGTTAAACAAGATTTAGTCTCAGAGAAGTATCCAACAGTGTAAGAATATATGCATGTAAAAAAGCCAAGGGCTTGGATCAATTATGCTAACAAGGCCTATACATACTCAGTGCAAGCAGTTGTTGTGTGATCAGCTGAACATTGAAAGATCAGTTGATCTTTTTGAACAACCTATGGATGCTTTGACCCTAATTTTTGCAGGGAAACGTCAACTTAAAGTGTGAATAAAATGTGTCATGAAACAGTTCTCTATAGCAGAATGAACTGATTATCCGGACATTAATTGCAGTGTAATGAAGATGTCATCCAACCTGGGCTGGATCGCTCCCAACAGTTATGTCTGCAGTAAGCTGAACTGTCAGTCATCATGACTGACTTACCCCTAGAACTGTGGGGTTCACTACCACGAACCCCCACAACTGTTCTGGGGGTAGTGATCAACTTTGTCTGCGTACAGTCAGTAGCCTAGTCACCATGGTCCCTTTATTTCAGGTCTTCGCAGCATTTTGCAGGAACTCAGTGGCTGTTTGATCATACATATTTATTTTTACAAGCTTCTGGGGGATTGTATATTTGGGGACCCCCCAGTTGCCTGTCATTTCAATCTTGTAAAAACTAGTCAGCCCCTCCCCCCCAGAAAAAACCAAATAAAGGCAACACTCTCTTTATTGCGCTGACCCTATTTTTTGGACATTTCAAAGTGTAAATTGTGAGAAAATGTGGCTTTCTTACTGATAAGGGGTCATTTTTTAGAGTGGTGGGGTATTCTGCAATTACCAGATTACTCCTTCCTGTTTAAAACACAGTTTCCCCTCATAATTTCTGTCAGAGCTCAAAACCTTGCCCTCTTTTCACAACATCAACCCTACAGCATGTACAGTCACTGAGTGGGCCTATAGGCCTACATCATGTTTTATCCTATTCATCTACTAAGGTGCATCCAAAAGTTAATATGTAGGCCTCCCTTCTGTGCTCTGAACGGAGACCCCAAATATACATGTACAATCCCAAGCTTCTGTATTGATGTAATATCTTTTAAATGAGAAAATACACTGACTGTAATTACAGGCACGGCGAGAGGGGGGGGCTCATGTACTAATATTGCGACCGGTCAAGGATTTAATAGGACCTACGGCCTACCTTGGTTATTTCAAATCTGTCCCCACATGGACAAGGATAGTGGTAAGTCTCCGTTTCCTCGTCATATTCGAAGTCTTCGATCTCAATTTCGTCGTGATAAACCGTCATTTTTCAAGTTTCTCTTTGGATAACTTGACGGTCGATCACACGCGCGCCATGCACACGTGCACACTTTTGAATTTGTAAATATAGAGGCAACATGGCGCAAAGAAAGTAATTATTTCGTATAGTTTGTGTGAAAATTATACGTATATTCTCCTTCAAAAAAGTGAATGTTCCTTCGTGCATTGTCTCACACTTTCGTCTCATGTTTTATTATTGCCTAATATGAACTCACGTGTATTTGGATATTGTAATTTTACAATAAAACATTTGAGGCCGATCTACATGTTTAAATTTCCAATTGGAAAAATACAAAATATTACGGCTGTTTTGTGTACCCCTCCTCCCTTCGTGGTACAATAAATACATAAACAGTTTCGATCACATGAAGATGGCCGCCGATTTTAAGTGAGTAGTTGGCACCCAACCAGCCACACAGAAAGGCCTAATTTCCCGTACATGTATTGCAAAGTACATTTATTAAATTATGCAGAAGGTCGATGATCGAAAGAGTTTTGACAAAATTATCATTCTTATTATGTTAAATGTTCGATTTCTCGAAATGTTATGCATTGCTATGCTGAGTGGGGTGCTACGTTCATGTGCATGTATGCCCTAACGTTATGTCTTTTCTAGCAAGGGTAATAATTTCTTCACTTTTTTCTGTTTTATTTTTGAAGTGATCTTGGAGAGAATTTCATAAGAACCATTTTGGGAAAGAGTTTCATGATAAACGGACTACACTAATTGCCCTTAAAGTTAAAATGTTATAACAAGCATCAGAAAGTGGTAAGCCTAACATGTCATAAAAAGTGAAATTTAGCTGAGAAAATTACAAAGCATTTGCTTAGAAAACACTTCTAGGAAACGTTCTTTCAGGCTAGTCTCATAGGTAGGTTTGTGCACAGGCATGATAGGGGCATTAAGTGTTGTCCGTATATGGAACTCTTTCCCTATTTTGATGTAAATTTGGATTCCATCAAACTCTGCAAAGCAAAGAAGAATTGGTTTGAAGCAGGGATGTTTTGAGATGTTTTTTGTACACGTGTAATGCAGAGCAAATTGTTATTATTTTGTACACAAAAATGAGTGTGGATTTTCACTGAAAACCTCAGTCTCTTCATATTTTTAAAAAATATATTTCTCATTAGTGCCTCATTTCATGAATAAAATGCTGTTTTCACTTCAAATTTCAAAAATTTTGAAATTGGACATTAAGTTAAGGAGCTACACCCTGCAAAAAAGACCCAAAAAAATTAATCACAATTTCCTGTTTTAGAAAATAAATTTCCAAATAAACAGCGCCCTCACTCCTTTATGCATTTTCCAAACTTTGTGAGTTTGTCATATTTGTTATTTTAATCGTAGAGCTAGCTCTATGTTTCAATGAATGCGCAAAAGTTTACTTGACCCCAACCCAGTGATACAAAGCACTAGGCTTGCCCTCAATTTCTGCCTCAACGTGTTAATCCTTTTGTGCTTTTGTATCACAGGACTGCTCAACCTGTTGAATACTACAGAAAATTTCTTGTAAGTACATAGGCACAGGCCTTATCAGTTAGGTAGATCGTCATCATTCATGATCAGATTTCAACCTCAACTCCTTAGGCTTCACTAGCCCTGGTTGTGAAGAATATGAAAATGACCCTGACTGGCTATGCAGGACGTATACATAAATGTAAAGTGAATCACCCGTGTATTTCAAAACCTACACCCTCAGACCTATGTATTCTCCTGCACGTCACACGTGTTTATCTGCGTCACGCGTAAACGCACTGACTACAATCCTAATTTAAATCTCCCATATAGTGGGATATTTAAATCTTACAATACCAGGGGTTGAGATCGTGTAATGTATGTTGGGAACCAACACAGTGTGGCAAGATCGTACCCATGGGAATGAGGTTGGTTAGGTCTGGTCAAATCAATTTATTTTCTTGTCAGTCAGTTAAGCAATGCTGGGCCTTGCCACCCATGACTGATATGACTGACATCACTTGGGTACTGATGCAGTGTGAACAGGTGAAAAAATCATAAGTGCTGGGTGTACATAACATGCTCTCATTTACTTTGGCATAATTTACATTGCAGCCACGATCTACATGTCCAAGTAGCCTTGTACATGTACTGGAAAGAATTCCACACATACGGATGCCGCTTGATGCCCTATGCACAAACAGACTTTTGTTTTCAGTATAAAGTCCTTGGGAATGAATTCCATCTTGGGCCATCACAGTGTTTGAGTTGAAATTCAGTAGGCCTATACATTTTGCCATGATCTCGTAATGAAGTGGAGTGGGTTAGAGCTTTTGGAGTGGATTAGAGCTTTTGGACTGGTGTCTGCTCACATATATTTTTATGTCAGTTATTCATCAGTACACAAATATAACATGCTTTGAGGTTGGACAGTCAGATGTTTGTTCCCCAAGGTATTGGGAGTTGACAAACTAGTTCTCGAGGTGAACAAAATGAAATAAACCGTGTTATATTTGTTTGACTATACCTCATACATATTTCATTTAATGACCTCTGAAAATAAAAATGTCATCATTAATTTGTTTCCATGAACTTTAATTTGTTCCTAACATTGAAACACAAACACTCAACTACTCCCCCCGGGCGACACACGACACCTGGTGGGCAACAGTTCTTGGACTTTCTGCTACGCATGTAATTTTAACTGTCAACAGGGTAAGCCGGGCGACAGTTAAAAACATGTGCATATTTACTCCTTTCGTGAACGATTGCGTGTGCGCTAGGCAAACAGCAAAAATAGTGGCTGGGCGCGACCTTGAATGCACTGATGAGTGTTTGGCAATCCGTCATGAATATGTATGAGGTATAATAATGATTCCCAAATTGTTCATTTTTTTTTCTCAAAAGAAAGAAGATATTCGTCCTGATGGTAGGGAGCTAGGGGAAATCCGTCCAACCATCCTAAATGTTGGTGAGTCTGTGTTCAAGACTGTACGATTCGTGTGAATGTTTACATTTATATTTGACTGAAATGAAATTTACTTTCCTCCCAATCTGAGCTACCATGTTGACACCTCTCCATCAACTAGTCTGCTGATTGTCCAGTGATTGATGCTAAACAGGTTGATGTTTTTGTACTATTTTCTGAATACAATACCATGAAGTGGAAACACTCTTGTAGATTGGTATGATAATTGTCATGAGCTTGCATACCAATTTCCCTTTTTTTTCTTGTATAATGCAAAAGAAAAGAACACCAAAAGTTGAAGCTTGGCCTGTTTGATGTGGGAAGCAGCTAGGAAAGGTGGCCACCTTGCTTCTTTTTTAAAAATTAAATCCATTTTTAGTTGAATGTGACAGTCTCTATTTGATCTGTGTCACGCTGTTCTTCCTTGGGTCAGGTTCCATAACCACTGCAGATGGCTCAGCACTGGTTAAGCTTGGGAACACGACCTGCATCTGTGGCATCAAGGCTGTAAGTGAACCTTATAGCACATATAGTCTAATCTGTGTCCTTTCACAAAAAATGTGCAAATGTTGATGTGATTTTGTCTTTCACTCTTCTCCCCCAGTCGCCCCCCCTCCCAGAAAGTTAGAGTTTACTGCTAGAAATGTATTCAATTTGCATTCTTTCAGGAATTTTGTACGCCTAAGGAAGATCTGCCAAAGTGTGGCATTGTGGGTAAGGACTTTGAAATATTTTCTTTTTCTTCTTCTTCATGGACATGATGTATGCAGTTTTGGCGGAACTGTACGCCACATGTGGAATATCATGTTTGTTGTATGGCGGCTGTTTGTCACACTTTATAATGTACATGTATGGTCAAAAGGTGGCTTGCTACAGTACCGAGTAAGAGTGCATGATACATCTGTAAGTTTGATCAATTTGTATTGGCCAGGGTTGTCTTTTAGACTTTGACTTGATGTGAAATCCATCGTTCATTGATAACTGTTAAATCAGAACCATGCCAAACCTAGCATTGGCCAGGGTTGCCTTTAGACTTTGACTTGATGTGAAATCCATCGTTCATTGATAACTGTTAAATCAGAACCATGCCAAACCTAGCATTGGCCAGGGTTGCCTTTTAGACTTTTGACTTGATGTGAAATCCATCGTTCGTTGATACCTGTGTGTATTTCCATTCTAGTCCCAAATGTGGATTTACCCCCGCTGTGTTCCTCTCGCTTCAAGCCAGGCCCTCCCAGTGAACAAGCTCAGGTTGTTACTCAGCTGCTTGCTGATGTCATCAACAAGTGAGTTGTTCCCGTAGTTGTAAGAACAGTTGAAGAACCTCAAGAGTGGATTTGCTGGGCAAACTAACAAAAATCTCATTCCATGTATGTTCCCTGCCTACTCCCTGGAAAAACATCCGCACAATCTCCCTCTCCAAGGGAAAATAATTGTTGCACATTTGGAATGTTTAGTTCATGAGTTTTAAAAATTCCTCGATTGCAAATCAGCCATTTTATGTGGGACATTTACTTGTTTGGTTGTATTTTGTTTCAGTGCCAAAAGCATTGATTTGGAATCGCTCTGCATTGTGGAAGCAAAGGTGAGGTTAATATTTCCAAAGATCCATCAATATCCAGATGTAGGTTTTTCAGGACCATAAACCCTGCTGCTGTCTCTTATAAATTTTTAAGAATGTTCAGAAAATTGAGGAGAAAATGTTCCGTTCATTTACTGTACATTGCTTGGTCGTAACAGAATTGGAAAAGTCTGGCTATAACGTACATGCATATACACATGTACAACACGTTCTTGGCGTTGGCGTAACAACCTCAAGACACTGATAAAAAATGGTCTTAAATTAACTGCTGTCCATATTTGTAAGCCGTCCATACTAAATGAGAGCTCATGAATTACCATTAACAATTTCCCAAATGCACGTGCACTGGTTTTAGATTTCCCTTTCGGAAACTTTCAAACCCTTCATTTTGACCGCTGTACTTTGTAATTCTAAAGTTGGTTGCTAGTACTTGGTCAAGTAATGTTAAACTGGCTCCAAACATAACAGAGCAGGCACTTGGGTACCCGGTTGTGATGTACAGCCCCCATTTTTACGCCTACATACTTTTGATAAACTGGATACTATCAACACTTTCTTTGTACAGTTGTGCTGGGTGCTGTTCTGTGACATTGTTTGTCTTGACTATGACGGGAACATTGTGGATGCCTGCCTAGTGGCACTCGTGGCTGCCCTCAGAAACGGTGAGCCTAATAAGTTTCATTATCATTTCCAGATTTCAAATGTTTGGATTGTGAGAGTTCATCACATGCCTCAGTTTTCAATCCCAGCAGAAGCTTGTGACTACAATTGTATGAACCCACCTAGAATTTACACGTCAAGGGAACTGGGGTCATTCCTATTTGTTAAAGATTTTACCATCGTGAATTACATGTAACCAAAATCTTGTTAATTGAGTTGTCGCAAAATAATGCTCGGCTTTATCAAATTCATGTATTTATAATCATTAGACTATTTTGGGCCTTAAAACAACAAATATTCAAGCACCGATTGAAAATTGTGACCCAGTTAATCTGAACTTTTCTCCTCTTTGTAGTACCTTATCTATATACATTTAGTAGACATGGTAGAGGGAAGTGTTATTACACCGAGGCCGAAGCTAGGTCCTGGGTTGTCTCTAAAATTTCCAACCCCAAACTCACTTTTCATTCATTTCGTTGCCGTCTCGGACATTATTTGTTTGCAGTGTTGCTGCCAGAGGTGACAATAGAGGAAGACTCACAGCTCCCAGTCACGTCATCGGACAAAACAGTTTCTCTTAGCATCCACAATACACCTGTTGCCACCACCTTTGCCATCTTTGACGAGTAAGTGCAGTGTCCCCCAAAACCCCTACCCTCAAAAGCGATCGATCAAGAATCCCATGCCGTCAAAGGTGTTATAAGCTAAGCATATCCTCTAGTCTTGTTCTCAGATCTTCTTTTCTGATACATTCTGGATTATGGCCATGGTATAGTACCTGCTGCTTTACCTGACTCAAACTGGCCAGCTGACCCTGGCAAGTTGGAAGGTCGAGTGGCAAGACTTCTGCATCCATCAGTGATTATCAATGTCTGGCGGAGAACCTTGGTACTTGAAAAGTACTCGACTACACAGTAACAACTCTTGGGTTCAGGTCCCACTGGAGTGTTGATGGTTTTTGCCATTTAGTGTGGACTCGAGTAATGGGATATCAAGTCAAAATGGGGGGGGGGCAGTACCATAAATTTGAGTAGCCTGTCACTTGATGCTGTACACGGTTGTGTGTATAGTTGTATGGACATGTGATCTGTATGCTCTACTGCCAAAGTCTAACCATTAAAGTGACTTGTTGATTGCAGGTCTGTTTTATTGGCCGATCCAACCAATGAGGAAGAGAGCATAGCAACAGGTGAGGTGACAATTGTCATGACAGAGGATGGACGGCTACAAGCAGTCCACAAACCAGGTAGGCCCTACAACTTAATGCTTCAGGAAACTTTCACATACAAATGGAAGTATTCAAGAAATAATTCATGCATTGGATTCATGAGTGATTTCATATTCTATGCATAATTAAAGGTTCCCACAGTGAACAAAAGATACCAAGTTTCCATCTTCCACGCTGGATATCTCTTGTGCCTTATTTTTCAGGAGGAAGCCCACTGTCGCCAGACCAACTTCAAGACTGCATTACAAGAACTCAGACAAGATCCGAAGACGTACGGAGGCTGATACAAGATACAATAGACAGTGTGGAAAGATAGTCTTCACAATTCTCCCATTTTTATTGTCTCAGGTTCTGATGTTACAGTTCCTTGTCTAAGGCTGTTTTTATAATAATGGCTTCAAGGTTTGGGCTAAGCTAAAAATGTTCTGGTGTTCCCCCCTACTTTCATTTGAAAAAAGATATTTCCTGGTTGTGAACCAGAATCATGGTAATAGTCCGTAAGCATTCAACAATAAAATAGAAAGAAACTGGATATTTTCACTGCTAAAAATCTTATTTCAGGGCACCAAACTTTTCATCCTCTGTCAGTATTTAGTGTCCTATGTGGTGGCTTATTTTTTTTTTGGGGGGGGGAATTTTGAAAATTTTACTGAAGTAAAGTAAATAGCTTCTGAACATACTAGTTCACATACTCTGGCACTTAAAATGTTAAAAATGTCTTAGTTATGGCATTTATATATTTGTATGTATAGGTCAGAGTTGTCAGACCTAAAGACATTCTTTTGGTATTAAATACCGTTTTCAAAGTTTGATGACAACTGAATGATCTACTATCCCCTCTTTCCAACCTACAATTGAAGAATGTGCACTTGATTTTTCTTAAAACATGTAGTAATTTTCTTAAAACTCCGTTTGAGGTAAGGGGACTTAGAGCGTAAGTAGGATTGTAAAATCCTTCCCTTTTAAATGTGGGATTCTTCAAAGGCCTTTAGAGAACACCGATTTGGTTGTCATTTGTGCTGTTACTTGTATGCTTGACACAAATAATGAAAACAGCCAATCTGAGTTAGGTATTGATCCGATTATGTTAATGTGTTAAAAACCAAAAGACAATGCATATTCTCTCTAAAACATTGCAAAGGATGATGCCCTTTTTGACGGTCCTTTCTACACACTGGAGTTTACGTGTATGGACTTGTGTCGTGATCACAGAGATTCACTTTGGTAAAAATGATATAAAAAACCCTGACTGTAAAAATCCAAGCTGACCGTGATGAATCAGCATCCTAATCCATAAAAAAGATATAAACGAGAATCGTTCAACAGGAACACATTTTTGTACCTTGTGCCTTCGTTTTTGTTACAAATGCCATTACCACTGAAAATTATTATAAAATATTCTGGATACAGAAATTGCCATGATAACAAATACATATCTACTAATACGTGTGACAAAAATCACTGCTGCATGTACTTCAATAGTGCATCATAAATTCTAAGAAAAAATACTACAGTGACAATATTTTCTAGAAGAAAAATAAAATATACTTTGAAAAAGGCAATGAATGCAGAGTGAACGTCCTGGGTATGTACTAATCTTGTGCCAACTGTACACTGTGAATGTGGAACAACTGCACCGGTGTATCCATTCTGTGGCATTCCAGGAAGTCATCTGCACTTGCATTCTCTCGTGTGCTTTCTCAACAGTATCGGTACAAATGCGAGTTCAAGCAATTGTGGGAATTTGGTTGATTGACCTAATCCATGGAAAGCTGACCTGGTATTTGTTGTGTCCAGTGATTGGACAAGGTCAGGACACACTACACTCTATGAGGCTGTGTTTTGCAACGATGCATTGATAAGACATGCTTGATCTGTTACATCAAAGCTGATAGTAGCCAATAAAGTCAGCTTATGAAGCAAAGTCTGGACAAGGTCGTTTTTTTTTTGTGGCCAGCCAATGTCCAGATCACACCTTCAACATGATTCTACATTGTAAAGATCTTTTTGGACCATACACCGCACAAAATCTGCTCAGGATAAACCCTGAAACTAACAATACTTTTTGTTCTCCCTCGATGCTACTTAAAGATCTTTACCCTACAAACAACTTTCCGCAACACTGCTCCAAAATGGTTTCTGAGTTGGTTTTGGAGCTGCCTCAGGTTGGTTTACATATAAATGTAAATTTATTTCAGCAATCAAGACTTGGCTGAACTGACCAATTTTACTTTCAACTATCTGCAGAGGAACATCTCGATGAAGAACACAGTTACCAATTCACACTGAAAGCGAATGGTACCATCATATGAAAAAAAGTCAGACTGAAATCAGACTGAAAACGGCCAAGGTGTCCATCGTGCCACTTAGGCGAACCTAGGCTTGGGTGTCGAATGTTGTCAGAAGTTTGGCACTGAGCAGGCGGATGCTTCATTTGGGGGGAGTGGGCGTGGTGCGTTTCTTGGTCTTCCCCTTGCTGCTGGTGGCATGCTGCTGGTGGGCTTGCTGCTGCTGCTGCTGCTGTTGCTGCTGTTGTTGCTGGCACAGGAGGAGTTGCTGATGCTTCTGGTAGGCCACCTGCGCCAGATGCTGTTGTTGCAGGGCCTGCTGGTGAGTGGCCAGCTGAGGTAGTCCCGCCTGCAGGGAAAAATAACACTGCTATTAATTACAGGGCGAGTCATCAAATGCTCTGCACTGACATTTCCTCCCTCATCATCACAATGCTTTTTTTTCTGGCTCAATTTTCAAGAGTTTTCCGGTAAACCTTGGGACCTTTTTGACAACAATTTTACGAAAATTGGGCATTCTGTTCATGCAAAATGGCCATTTTTCTGAAACAAGTCACCCAAAATGTTAACTTCCCTATTCACTCTCTCAGTATGACATGCAAAGGGATGTGTAAACTTACGCTTTTTGCGAAACTCAAAAGTGTTACAATTTCAAGAAGTTACTCTCACCTGAAACCTAAAGTTGACAGTGAAAATTATCCTTGGGGAAAATTTTGGTTTCCTCAAAGCATATTCTGTAAAAAATGTTGGTTTTGGAGTGTTCCTGATACCTGGATGGCGGTGAGTTGCGACAGCACAGTCGCAGCCTTTGCCCCTGCACTGCCGCCCGTCTGTTGATGTTGCTGCTGTTGCACATTGGCCCCTTGGCGCTGGGATTGGCCGGCCGCCGTTGACTGCTGCTGCAGCTGTTGCTGGAGATGCTGCTGCAGCTGTTGTTGAATTCGCTGCTGCAGGGTGGCGTTGTACAGCAGTTGCTGCTGTCCTTGCTGTGTTTAATAGGGAGGGAAAAACTGAAAGGGTAGCATTAAAGATATCGATTTAAACTCGGCGCAAGATTGATTCCTGAATGGCTCATGGGTCTGTTATTCTGTTCTTGTTATCTTCTGGAAATCAAAGTACAATGCATGAGAACCGTGGATGGCATTGCACGAACACTACAGAGAGCTTCAGTTGTTAGATACATCAAGTGTGTGTGAAGTGGTTGGTAGACATACAACACACTGGCACCCAACATTTCCTCGAATCAGCTGATTTCCTCGTTTTCACATCAAACTCATGCCACTGCAAATTGAAAAATACTACCAAGTCTTGTAACGATTGGAATATCCTCATTTTTGTCAAAGTCCAAGTTGCATGCCGGGTCACAGCTAACATGCACTCAGTGCTCACTTGAACACACGACATTGCAGCGCCTGTGGGAGTCACCATTAAGGTGTCATTATCACTGTTTGGGATGTCAAAGAGTAAGTTGATTATTTTTGGTTACTGTTAACAGAATTTTCACAGTTTTTTCAACCTTTAATATAAACATACCGGAAGTAGAGAGAGCTGGCCTGGGCTTCGGAGTGCACTGGTTCCCTTCAGGCCGACATTCAGCTGGGGCAGCCTGGCCTGCGTGATGCCTGTGGCTGCTGCTAGCTGAGTCCCCGTGGACAGGTTGACCGACCCGGTCCCCAGCAAACCCCCCTGACCGGTGTTGATGATGTTGATGGGTGCGGTCAGTAGCCCCGCGGGGCCAGATATGATGCCAGCCTGGGTCGGGGAGGTGGAGGCGGTGGCCACTGTGGTGGCCGCAGCGATGCTGGCGGTCGTGGTGGTGGCAGCCGAGAGATTGATCATGTCGGAGGGGAATCCCGAGAGAGTGGTCATGACACTGATGGGGGAGCTGATCAGACCACCAGCTGTCTGCACAAGACCTGTCCAAGTTACCAACCGAAAGTCTTGCCATCGGTTTTAACATTTGCCGTACTTAAAACACAGACAAACACTGTGTTTCACAGTTTTCCAGATTTTATCACTAATTATCAATCCCTGCACTGTTTGCTGAAAGATTCAGAAAACTTTAAAAACCATACATTTAATGATGCAGTCGCAATGGCAGATGAGGCATTATGCCTGCTGCTGTTAAAACAGGCATCAAATTTATTCACATACTGTGTTTAGAAAATGGTCTGATTTCTTACAACACATAAGATGATTTACACTCACCAATCCAGACATTACAATAAAGGAGGAAAAACAGCACATAAATGCAGTGGCCACTTGTTTTGGGTTTTTCCAGGGAAAGACAAATATAAATTCATAAATACCTCAGACAGTCTTTCTATTCCAAAACGTGCCAACTTGACCGTGTATTAACATTGATAATGCCTGCTGAGAAGTGATTATGCCCGCTGCGTAAAGAACGCACTGGCACTTGGATACGAGACAGGTTAACCCTAACCCTCCTCAATCCTCCAACAGGTGAAGGATTCAGGAGGGTTAGGGTTAATCAATTCTGATTGGTCAAGAGTCTCTATGCACAAGGTTCACCACGCGCACGCCAAGTCCATATAAGGTGATTCTTTTGGACAACTTGTAGTTTAAGACCGGCCAAGCACATATTTATTCCCTCATGAAAAATCAGACACTTTTAATAACATATGATGCATTCACTGGGGGTTTGAAAGTGCGGTATTTCACCGGCTTATTTGTCTTGAAGTACAGAGAGTACATTACCTGCTTGTGATGGAGCAACCAGTCCCATAGTGACAGGAACAGTGATACTGCCCCCGCCTGCCATAGTGATTGTCACAGCCACGCTGTGGGGCAACAAACCCGCCTGGCTGTTCACCATCCCCGTGGGCATGGTCACTCTTCCGGCTACGCCCTCCAGGGTGGGTGTGGTCACCCGGACTGGGTTGGGGATGATGCTCGGGGAGGGCGAGGCAGGCGTGACTGGGGCCGATGGGGTGGAGGACGGAGGCGGTGTGGGGGGCGGGGCCATAGAACCAGACACTGTACGGTAAAGAAGAAGGGAATTTCAATGAATGTAAGAGCTTGTGCGTGGCAGCTATTTTTCCCGTAAGAGCTTTTGTTCCAGAGGGATACACATGAGTAGACCTTTTGTGCTATCCCTCCGCGACAAAAGCAATTACTGGAGAGATGGCTGCCATGCACAACATCCGCAAAGCTTCATTTTGTATTGAGCAAACTAAGGTGAGCATCTGCAGCATCACTGACTGTGCATATTACTTTTTGCTTGTTACATTCATATCTTGTACACTTGCTTCTGTGTTTTTTTGTGACTTTCATAGTTTAAATAAGTGCACACCGCTCACACATAAATACATATTCTAATGAATGGGAAAATTGGCAGCATCTCTACTGCTGTATTATCTCGTGATGCCAGGTCACAGTGGTAGGGAAGAATCACTTTCAACTGAGATGTGTTAGAGAGCGAAGTTGAGGAAAAAAACTGAGAGAGTAGTAAAAGTCTCTATCGCCATCAGTTGCTATGGCAACAAGCAATAACTATGCAGTGGCAACGACCAGCTCCCGACTAGGATCCAATATACCAATTCTCAAGAGAAGGTGGGCGGGGCGAGTTATTGCGCGGCTTACATGGTGAGGAGGCCGGCAGGGATGTTGGGGTTCCTTGAGGGGAGGCAATCATCATACCACCATCTGCAGGAACGCTGCTAGCCCTGTAGAAATATCACACCACAACTGAATGATTTACTGACTGAAAGAAACATTAACAACGGTTATACATGGACGCCAAAGGTCTTGCCGCATCGTCAGTCATCCCCACCATGAATTATTGGATAACCTTTGACTTTCTTTCCACCGCCACAAGTTCAAGGAAGTTCAGGAGGCTCCCAGTTGCGTGTCAGAGTACAGTGAGTGAATGTAAACTGTACTAGATTGTGGTGTGAGATCAGAGTACGGTGGCACTTAGTAATTGCTACAGATATGTGGTTCTGTGATCCGAAATATGTCTAACACCATCTCAAAAGGGTACAGGTGAAAAAGCAGGTGATGAGAATGAAACAATCTTGTTTTATCAGGAAAATCCACGTGAGCGGGTTCCGGGACCCTGTGCTTCAAGCCTAGCACAATCTCTCTAAAATGGCATTTGCCTTTGGATGTGGGAAGATTGCAGCTCCTAGTCATTCCTAAGGTTGAACTTTTTCAAGAGCAATCAAACTGTTGGGTGAAGTAGAGAAACTGAAAGAAGTCACTTCCTATTCTTGTCCAGGGCTAGGTCTGAGTCTTCGCTGGTTGCTAACACATGGACACAGAGTGACAATGGTGTAGCCACGACAGCCTCTGGAGGCCTATTTCGGACGTAGCCCAAGGCTGGGAAATCTTTATACCTGGACAGGTTAAGGTAGGCTGGTGGCTGCCTGCCTCCTTTGTGTCGCCCGCTGCTGAGTGGTGGGCTGAGTATAGGCACCGTCGGCTGAGTTTGAAGCTGCTGCTGCTGTTGTTGCTGCTGCTGCGCTGCTGCAGCAAGGGCTATTGTACTCGTAGGAAACACTTGACCTGCAAATCCACATAAACGCCCCATTAAATGAAGATACTTACTTCTGCATCTTTGAGTGAGGGGATATCTCAATTTCATAGCGACAGAGTGGTGAGCTACGCACTACAGAGAGCTAGGGAGCATAAACCTGGTTGTTCAAACAAATAACAGGACTGCTCTTTCAGGGTATTTTTCTTCGTACTGATGCCAATTTGTGGATAAAGTTTTCAGTCTCTGCCTACTTCCATTATGATTCTGTTACTTATTATGGGTATTGCTTAATTTCAAAGAAGGAAGACTAGGCAGATGCTCCATGCAAGAGAGCTTTAACCCTAGCCTGGCTTTTCCTTTACCTGGCAGTGAAGGCTGGGCCACCGGGCCGGCCAGGTTGGAGTTCAGGCTACCTGAGCTGCCGATACCAAGAGACAACCTGAGTGTATTGCCGTCTGGCTGTCCAGGCTCCGTCTGCAAAGGTTACGAATTCAAAGGTCAGAGGCACAATCACTTTTGAAATAAGAGCTTGGCTGGGTCAGTCTTGTCACTTGTTGCACAATAACTGAGGAAGTCTAGTGCTTGGCAAACACCAGCCTACTGCAACCAGCAACATCCTCAGCATGGCATATTGGTTAGTAATCTGTCTTTACTAAGCAAAGATGTTTTTATCTTCTAGCATAGGGTTAAAGTGCAAAAATAGAATTTTGTGTTCTTTTGCGTTCGGATGATTACTGCTTTTTCTGTAAGTGAGATGTTACTATGTGTGATAGGATAGGCTAGTTCAATCCCACTTCATTGCGTTTACCAGTCAAAATTTCACACGTTACAAATTTTCATGGCTGGTTCTCACGTGATTTCCACTCAGTACATAAAAGTTGCCAAGCACTGTTTCCTACATATCTATAAGACTGGGCCCAAGATCTTGGCTGACCTTAATGACGACACTGGCAGTCTGGCCTGTCTGGTTATTGCTATTGTTCTGCTGCAGCGAGGCCGTGCTGCTGTTGCCACCACCACTGCCGTTTGCCACGCCAACTACGGCTCCCTGGGGCGCAGCACCTGCTGACGGCCCCGGCATGGTGGTGTTGGCAAACTGGTTCTGGCCGGGGACAATGCGGGTAATCTTGACCTGCCGCCGACCCTCCTCGGTGAACAGGTCTCGGAACTGATGCAAATACCTGCAGTGGAGAAAGATTCATTAACACTTTATACAATGATCCCTTGGCATTTTACCAATCTTCTCCACGGATTGTTCCCTTTTCTTCATAAACAATAAAAATACGTCTAGTTTTTTATGTCTTTAACAAAATACTTACATTTGTGCATTTTTGAATGAACCGAGGGAAAACCTGTGGGTGAAACAATTGAATTGATTATGCACATGTTACTCATTCAAATCAAAAACATTCTGAAATTAAAAACAGATTCGTTAACTCTTATTTCAGAAACATATTCTCCTCCACCCATTAGAAGGGAAAACAAACTTTCACTGAAAATTTCCTGGGGATTAGAATCAACTCTATTCAATGTTTTACTTTTCTTACAAGCACCGGCCACAATTGAAAATGAGGTCCATTTTTTAAAAATTCTCTCCAGAAACTGCCCAGTAACCTTAAATACCAAAGCAACAATATCCACAGTGCTTTCTGGCTGTTTCAGCTGTGTAGTAAGTGAACACATGTCAGAGATATGGCAGTAACATAAAAAACTGGAGTTACAAATATGATCTGTGTGACAGCACACTCTGACCTTTTTGCAAAACTACACCTCAACTGCAAAAAGTTAAAAGCTTGTTGCCAATTTCTCAATTCAGGGCTCTTCCCTGGTTACCGAGGAATTTGAAACGTTAAGCAGTGATAAATTTTCAATTTCTCGTACGGTCCCCAACCCCCTTTCAAAGTCTACCACACAACAAAGAGGCCAGGAACCAGGTTATCTTTGCTCTTATTAGGCTACACAGCGCCCTCGTTGGTTCAGGCACAAACCCTATACCTGCATGTGACCCCTGGCCTCTTGCCCTCGTGAACGTTGTAATCCCTGTCATAATACAACTCTCCAACGTAGCTCTGGTCCAGCTGGTGTTGATGGATAGACACGCGGGCATAGTGCACCTTGCCGTTGCCCCTGTCCGTCTCCAAAATCTCCTCCACTGTTGTAACCTAGAACAATTGATCCAAGTAACACTGAGGCTTGATGGAACATCATAATTTCAAACTGCAATCATACACCATACACAACCACAAAAACACCTGATGAAAAATCAAAGCATAAGTTATGTGCCCTATATGTGCTACTTGCATTTAGTTCAATCTTACAGTTTGTAGACAGAGCTGTGAAAAATGCACATGCGCGTATGAACACCCCGAAGCAGGTGTTGACCTTCCGCAAGGTGATTTAAACCTATGTACATTTTGTGCCACCTGGGAACCTATATGGACAAATTCACAAGCTGGCTTGGGTGGGACTCGAACCCCCGACCACTCGCTACTTGACCATCATGCTTGCCAAGGTTTGCATCCAAAATCTACCCAATGCAAGATTACATCTAATAGCAGTCTTGTTTTATAAACGTGTCAAGGAAATGTGCATTAATTCCATGCATATGGGAAGTTTACTTACAAGTGAATTGTCTTTGGGGCGTGGTCTCTCTTGACATAAAGCATGCTGCTCAATCTGTCACAAATGTCGTACATGTAGTTTCCATTATGCAACTGTAAAAGTCTATTTGAATCCCAAATTGTACATCCCCATTATTTAAAGATAAACTCAGAAAAGACTTTTTACATGAGACACTTCATCATTTTAATTTCAACTGAAACTCTGAGTAAAGTAGAAAGAAAACGTTATTAATCCAAGTGAATTATATTGCTTTTTGACGCCAACAGATGGAATTTGATGACGTCATATTTTGAGTAGCACTTGACTCATGCCTGTACACTATTTTTATGTACAAATGTAGTTCACTTTTAGTATACTGCACCGGCACTCACTTTGATGTAAAATTTGGACTTTGCTGATTCTAAGGGCATAAAAGTCCTGTCTCTAATCCACTGACAGAAGAAAGCCAGACTCACCACAGACACATCAGCAGCTGAGTGGTCGATTTCCCGCTGCCTCCACATGTCTACGCACTGAACAAGGGGGAGAAAGATGAGGGAAATGCCATGAAAACAATCCTACCGAATGAGAAAAGTCTTTGTGTTGTTGGAAAAATTTCCCCCTCAGGTATATTTTTCCCAAGGCTCAGTTTATTATTTGATCTTCTTACAATCAAATATTTGCTTATAGCCAATTCCTTCTAAAGCAGAAACAAATTATGCACATTTTTGCAAAAGGGTAAAACCAAACTTTACAAAGTACTGTTTGGCCTCGCTGTTGGTCATGTGCATTCAGCTGTCTTATTTACCTCTTGCAATATGTTTTAGAATGTAATTTTTACCCAAATAATATAACTGATTTCCTTTTATTTTACTTTTTTTCACTGCCAAATAATCAAGTTCAAAATTAAAAATTGGGAAAGGAACAAACAAGCAGCACAGCCCAACTGCTTCCAATGCCACTTTCTTAATCCACTGAGTTACCCATTTAATGAAGAAAAGCTTACCGTCTTGCCAACTTTCAAGTTGACGGGCACAGCTGGTGTTCTGTCCTTGCGACGAGAGAGGAAATCAATGAGACCCAGCTCCTTAGGAGCAGGGAGGGTTTTTAGGATGGCCTGACGGGCCCTGGACATGTGCGAATACCTCTTCATACACCTATTTTTGAAAAGAACAGACACCTTCAAACACATATTGACATCGAATTGTTAAGTGCACACCTTCCAAGAAAGGTAAGGTTTAAATTCTTGACAGTCCTGTCTTCGCTGCAAGTGCTTTGGGTTTCTTTAATGCGACCGGGCTAGGGCGGGATAAAGAGAGCGGGATACCCAAACGAATATGGTGGGTTCCAGAGCAAATTGATGGGGGGTGGGGTGTGGAGTAGTTTTATAACCCCAAAACCATTCAATGTTAGATCAAACTATTCTGAAAGGGAAGAACATGTCATATTGAACAATCGCAAGTAATAAATTGTGACCGGCTCTAAAAAATAGGGAATAAGTCGCCAGATTCAGGTCATCAGTTTTTGATATGGCTGGATTGAGTACATCAAAAGCTACAATTTGATTTATGAATGACCCCTGTAGTGCACTGCGTTCCAGAGGTATTTAGACATTTGTATATCCACATTTTCGGATTCAATAAAAGCACTTTTTGAGAAAAAGCTCAGAAAGTGTAGCACTTGGAAACACAATGCTATGCAGGATTTCCTGCTGAATGATCCATTTGTCATCTTTATTCATCAGTATCCATGTTTGTAGTCACAAATTCTGAAAACATAAATGTTATACAAGCTAATGGAGGAAAAAACACAAGACCACATTTTTGAAGACATTTTGCCCTCTCCAAAAAGAACAGGCCATAAAATATTTTGGAATTACGCGACTTATTACCCTTTTTTGCAGAGCGGGTCACATTTGATAAAGAAGAAACTGCATTACATCCAGGAAGTGCACTGGCTTGGGTCCAGTGACTGCCAGTGCATTCTCTTGTAGCAACATAAAGACAGGCAGTTTGTGAGGAACGGTACAGTAAAAAAATGCTTGACATCTGACAGCTGTTGAGAAGAATGGATCCAACAATGGGGTCTTTGGGCCATTTTCTGAAGGAAATTTTTGTTTGTTTACATTAGAAAGAGCAAAATGAACTCCTTGTTTTGAGGTACTACACAGTTTGGGGTCCTGATCAAAGTAAACAATTCATTATGGCACTGTATGGGGCTGAAAATATGTTGGGGATTGTATTTTCTGAGACGTCTTTATCTCAAAGGTTGCCCTGGCAACGAGCCAATCTTTTTGCTATGTTGGGACACAATTACGTTTCTGTAGGTAAATGACCATTTTAAAGCCCTGACTCCCTGTGCTGAGGTACATGTACCTTTTGAGGGGTCTTCCGTTCAGTCTGTGCCTGTCTTGATGAAACCTATTCTCTATGCAGGTCACTGCTACAGACGGCTCTAGACAGAGAGGTTCTTGAGTGGCTAGAAGTAACTGGCTCTCCAGATGGAGTTTCTCATCCTGAGCAGAGACAAAGACAAGATTAATTCACTGACAAATTTCGCACGAGGTTGAATATTTTGACTTTGTCTTCCGCAGCAACGCGAGATTGACGTATTGCCAATTTTGAACTCTTGAATAAAGTAACCTAAAATAACCTGCGTGTCACAAATTCAGATGCCATGTAATCATCACGACTCTTTGAAGAGCCTGACTGAAGCTACGTAATGAACTTACATTGGTGAATCTTTGGCCTTCATTCACAATGGAGTTGATGTCACACAGCAAAGTCTGAAATAAAATGGGAAAGACAAACGAGCCAGTCTCCAATCATTCTCCTCTTCAGGAACGTGTAACCTCTGACAATGACATGTGAGGTGCTTGGCTCAAAACCGCCAAAATGTCTGCACTCACCTGGGCCGTCGGTCTGAGTAGCACGTAGCGGGTGGTGTAGTTCTGTCCGTTCCCCGACTGCCGATAATCCCTGACCTCTGTGATGACGCACCCATTGTAGAAGATGTTGGCCTGGGATTTCTCCAGCAGGTCCACAAGTACAGGTGGAAGCTGCAAAGAAAATTCACAGACAGGGGTTGGGGAACTTCTAAAACGACATCCTAGCACAGCAGGGCAAAATATAATAACCTCCATCCAAAAGATCTGTTTAAAACTTCACAACCTGAGAAACTCACACTTTTCTTGATGATTTCTGAGAAAGAGGCTGAAGTCTTAATACAACGACATCCTACTTTTAAAATCACCGCTGCTTCACTTTGCTACATGGGCTTTATTCACATGTATGCTGTACACTGCAGACAGCATGCTTAGAAATGCCCTCATATTAACTGCTTTACAAATATAACGTTTTAATATTAGGCTTTATAGAAATAACAATCTTAAAAATCATCTGCCTGTCCACTTCATGTATTTGATTTACACACCTCTTCGGCATCCAGATATTCTAGAAGCTCTGATTCCTGTATTTGGGAATATACAAGCACAATGCACTTTATAACTGTTTCAGATTTAGAATAATCCTACATGTACTTGTGTCAATTCTATGACCAGCAAAGGAGTACTGTCTTCTACCATTTAAACCTTCTGTCTGTAAATCAACAAGTACATGAACTGCAGGTTGTAAGTAAATGCTGTGTTAACATACAAGGCTTAAAGGTTTTGCAAGACTTCCTTGTCTTTTAAGCAAACGGATTAGCATTAGTAAATAAACCTTTCAATCACTTTTAGGCAGGTGCTGATATGCTGGGGAATAAATACTATTCCTTTTTATGGTTGTAGTCAAGATGTAACTCCACATATTTTGGTTATCTAAGAATGCTACATTATCTACATTGTCAAATAGACATTTGGATCTAACCTCATACGGAAGCCTCATAGTTTCAGTCTCTGTACAAGGAAAACGGAAGAAAGTTGGAACTGTCAGTTATGAAAAAAGACTCTGCACTTTATTCTGAAGGAAAGTGCCTTAATTTAGACAGGGTCAGATTCAAGACGTAAACTGCAGTTCAACAAGTAAATTTCAATGAAATCTCTCAATTTTTTTGTTTTGTGGTTTTTTGTTTAGTTCCATTGATTCATGCATTTTTCTTTTTGTTTGTCCGACACATTCATACACCATGAAATGTTGTGCTTGCAACTGCATTCTCTTAAAAAGTGAACACAGCAGATGATTTCTGTTTTACAAAGCAAAGGAATTTTGTTGTGAGGGGGCGGCACCTACCTGCACCATTTTCCCCACGCAGCATGAGGGAATACCCCTCACTACCCAGGCTGACAATCAAACATGTCAATTTCTCCCTCTTGGCAAGCTTGTCCAGAAGATGAACACCTGTCTTCAGATGCTACAGATAACAAACGTGACAGATTTTATTAATCAAGTGAATCACACCGATACATCTATTATCTGAGAAGTCCAGTATGATTCTTTCATTTTGAGCAAACAAACTAATCCGAAGACCAGAAATAGAATCTAATCTACAGAGGCACCATACTTTTGCACAGATCAGTATGCACGCATGGAAAACCTTTCAATCAATAGGGCAATTTCACACGACATATTTGCCAGTCAGGAAAAAGGAAAATATTTCCAGACCTTATTGCCAGGTGCTTTGCTACATTCTTCAGCATACAGCTCATGAAGCCTGTGATGAAGTGACTTCCTGAAAGGAAATGGTCATACAAGTTGCAGTGACCCTTTTGTAGAAAACAGAACAGCACAAACATGTAGGCTAATGTATTACAAAATTCAAAAAGTTCATAATTCTCCGTTTACCAGCACTGCACTTCACAAAGAAGGGACCATTCGTATTCCACACAATGGGAGTAAGAATAAAGGGACATCACATGATGCATTCTTACCTCAGACTTGTTGAATTGAGCCCATTTCTGTCTAATTTCATCATCAACAGGCTTCAAACTTCAAGAAATTCCAATTCTTCGAGGCCCCCTCCCCCCAAAATCACATCCCTCCCAAATATTTGGTTCTGGATCTACCCTTGCAACAGAGCATCTCCACATACGGCACTCCGATGAGAATACACCTAAATGCAGCTCCAATCAGAAGGCAAGCTAACGTTCTAAGGTCTGGGATACTCGGACCTGAATGAACATACCTGCTCCCTACTGTCTTGGGCTTAGGCGGTTTGTGTTCCACTTGCTGCAGAATGGCCTGAAGCGGATGGAAAATGAAGAGTTGTCTCAGAATGATCAGGTGTGAAATTCTAGACGATTACTATAGAGTGAGAGCATTAGGAGGCAGATATGTCTAAGAGCTACATGAGGTTATGTATGCTCCCTCAATCTGTAACAAATATAGATACTGTCCTTTAACTTAAACCCTAACCATGCAAAATCTGGCAAGATTCTATTTGATTTGGACAAAATATTGAATTGTAAAGTATATAAGGTTACGAAAACCTACATGTACAATACCACCTCACTTCCAACAAACTATCAGGTGCATCAGCATTTTTCACGTAACATTTTTTGTGACACACATTGACATGCATATATGGCTGTTTGTTTTTCCACAATGCGCACAGAGGCACTTGATGATGTTGCACATGTATGTAGTTCCAACTATCCTATAAAGATGGCTGCCTACAATGTATGAGAGCGGTCTATGTAGGAAAATAGACTGGCATCTGTCTAACACTCTTTTTCTCACTGCAACAATTAGATACTGTAACTGTGTCAAAACAACATCTGGTACCCATCTGGTAGTCTCCATTTCTACAAATACATGTACTGTATATCTCCACAGTAAGGCCGCTGGACAATGGAATGGTCATTTTTTCTAGACAAGGACGAGCCTAGTCTGCTGTAGGCCTCAAATTGAAATTACTTGGCTCCTGTCTCAGATGTTGAAGAAAAAGTCAACAAGTTAAAATTAAATTTCATTGGCTAAACAGTGACTGAAGTTGACCTGATTTTGTTCCGCATTCCCATACATTTGCCATTAACTGAGCCAGTAAGCTTTGCAGGAAAATACAGGGTTGAAAATAAGAGATTCTTCAGGTAGAAAATGATACTGTAATGAGAGTTCTACAAACCTCAGCCTTCTGAATAGCCTCCTCTAACTCTGATGTCTGAAAAGTAACAAATATCAAATCAAAAAAGAAAGTTACTTTTTTGCCATCACATGTTTGAGCGAAACTAATCTTTTGCTTCGTACATGCCTCAACTACAGCATTAGATCGAATGACATGTACAGTTGCACAGCGTGATAGCATGTGCCATCTACCATGCCATCACATGGACAGGTGCTTGATGACAAGAGTTATCAGTGAACACAGTTCAATGCTTGTGTCATGGATGGCACAACAAAGTGGAATGTTTTAATGAAATCTATTCATTGTAAGCAGCAATGAAACAAAACAAACAAAAACAAACTAAAACAAGGGAAACGACAAACATTTGTTCATATCGAAACTTGCCTGCTACCATGTGCGTATGGTTGGGTCATTTCAACTGCAGGACTATATTGGGTTCACTCCAACTACAATTGGAACCAATATTGTAGTTTGGGTATAAAAGTTTCCGCTCGTTGCACATGTGTACCTCTTTTGAACCATTTTAAATGAAACGAAGAATACATTTTAAAGTGTTAACAAAAAGACAGAAACTTTCTCCAATTACATGTACATGATACATGAAGTACAATTAAGTCTTGGATGCAGACCTGTGCATGTACATGTATAACCAAACTTACCATCTTTCTAAGAATGTAGATGATCTGCTCATTCTTTTGGTCACAATTATACAACTGAAGTGTCTCCTGCAGTTTTTCTGAGCTTAGCTCTACCCTCAATAAAACAGAGCCATCTATCAGAAAAAAAGTACAGGTACATAGCAACAGTGTCTTTAGTATGGAGAATTAAAATTGTTATATTCAACAGTTCACGTGACTTTAAAGAACTCAGTGTACCAGATTTTATTCAAATGTAACTCGCGAAAGGCGTATTTAGACTGGTTGTTGTCTACTTGTATTACGCCAATCTGAAGCACTGGAAATAGACACCAGACCTGTCTGTAACAAACGTACCGTACATGTGTATCTCAGACTTTCTTCCCACTAAAGGGTGACCCTTTTTAATTCCGCGATTCCCATATTTCGTTTACCTTGAGGAAGGGTGCACTGGGGTAAAAAGCAGGCTACAGAGATACATGTACATGCCAAGGACTTGGCAATTAGTACTCAGAGTACTCTGAACTTGGATTTGAGGATTCGACTCCAACACTGGTGAAAATGGTGGATATAGGATGAATTGTCTCAAAACAGGCTTAGCAGCAGGGAAGTAAAATCAGAGAGTAATACAGCTAGCAGAATTTCACCTCTTTGCACGCTGCAGCCATAGGCATGCACAGCCTCGATCTGGAAGCTTAATGTAGCAGGTTCAGTGATTGGTGCGTATGTTGCATCAACTTTTCTGGGGCAGCGTGGACATCTGGAATTTTTGCAAAATGGCAGGTACCGCGCTGGTGAAAAAAGCACCAGCCAGTCCGAGGATCAGGCCGCACAGTCTTTTCTTTGATCAGTATGTACGAGGGTGCTCGTTGTGGTTGGTTTCATCGGCACGGTATGGTTGCTACCCGCAATTTTGTGAAACTCCCGAATGTATGCGCTGCCCCAACCACGCGATCGGACGATAGACCTATTTCAAAAGCTCCGTTGACGTGATTTTCACATGACTGTATGAGCTGCCAGTTCGAGACTCTGCATGCCTATGATGGCTGTCTGCAAAGAGTGAATAGCGCTTAGGCCCTAACTGTGAGTCGAGTAACACTGGATTCCCGATCATGTTAATCATGCCAATCACCCGCTCATGACCAACATCAACACAACAGGTTTGAGCACCTGCTAATCTACTTTACAATTAGTTTTAGGCTTACATACTGTAGTCATGGTAGTCTGTAAGCCTACATGACATGTATGCATGTTAGGACTACCATGGCTACGTAAGCCTAACGTTACATGTTATCAATCATGTTCAAGTATTACCACGGACATGATGAATTGACAGGACAGTGTTCTGCGTCTGGTATTGGTAATCGGGACATCAGTTTCACGCAACACTATCACATAACTGAGGTTACTGTCAATCACTTCTCTCAACGTTAACAGTTGTAAATATAATCTTCTACCTTGCTCATGATCGAAGCTCCGAATCGGATCCGTCTTTTCATGAAAAATAGCATTTTACGAGCGTCATTTTCACCGTTCGGTAGAATCATGTGTGCCGCTGGACGTCCATCTTGAATACCGGCATGCAGTGCGGTAAACACGGAGGTCAACGAAGGTCATATGCTTAAAGGGAACTTCCAAGTCCGTGAGCGCGAGATGCGCTGACTTGTGTTTCCTTTAGAGTTCTGATACATTCCTGCCCCGGACGTCCAGTGGAATAACTCAGACTGCCTTGTGGAGTCCTTAATCCAGAGATACAGACTGACGCTATGACTGTAGAGCCTGGAGTCCCGAGCGAACTTCACACCCAGCGAGAGGCTAGGCTTTTTGATGAGCGAGACTCAGACATGTCAGAGTCATAATGATGTTAGGCCTACTATACGCGTACAACAAGATTTTAGACGAAAACTGGATTTGTAACCGGGTAAGTTTGCCCTCTGAACTAGTGCCTGTTTATAAATTTTGCTTAGAAGCTGGCCTTCCGTCAGTTAGTTTAGCCATGCTAAAATATCTTGGAAAAGTCAGGTCACACATTGGAGAAACCTTCACTGAACAGGGCGCCGCGAGAGAACGGGCGTTTCGTCGTTTCGCGCACAAACTTCAAGTCGGTGTCAGACTTTAAGTGTGACCAAGAACTGAGAGTGGTCTGGATCGAGTCATACTTCCTCGATTACTCGACTTGTATACATGGGTATATTGTTGTATTAGTATCTTGGTAATTTCATGAAGATAAAAATAGGCCCACTGCTAACATGCGTGTTAAACTGTTACTTTGTCCGACACAGCTGTTCAGCGCAATCTTGAATCTTGCGCAGATTTCAGTTGTGCTCTACCCAGTGTTGATTTTCCCGGTTTAAATGAAATCCATTTGTAGGATAATCAACGCAGGTGGGGAGTACAAGTAATTTGCACAGAAGTCCAGATTGCGCTGAACATCTAACATTCAAATCTTCAATTTTCAGGATTTTGTTCAAAAACTCAGGGCAGCATTTGTGGGTTAAGTTCGATATGCTAACGGGCTTATTGAATCAAACTCGAAGGAAGTAGTGGCTTGTTATAATTCAAATAGATTTGATGGCTGTTTCAGACTACAAAATAATCATAACAGAAAACAAGGAAAGCCACACAAATAATGTCGAGGGTGATCTGACCGTCTTGCATCTTACGCGCGAGCAAATAACACTCTAGAGTCCTACCCCTGTATCCAACAATACGATCCCTCCAAGGGAGAGTGACATGGGAAAACAGGAAAGTGTGTCAATTATCATATACCCTTAGATTGAACTAAAGCCCTTCAGCTGTGCTCTCAGTCATTAATAAGGAAGAATGATGGTTTAAAAGTAAATTATTGCATGTCATTCCCCAACACAGTTTGGCCTAGATAACCTAACTCAAACACCATGCAAGTGAATACGTTTCACCTCCACTGCAGCAGCTATACCCCGAGTTTCGCTGGAAGTAACCGTGCAAACGAAAAAACACTTTGGAAATGTAGGTCTGAAACTTTTGAATTCCAAACACGTTTTATACATCTGGAAAAGGTGTGTCTTCAGTATGATAACAAGAACTGCCGAATAATTCATGCTCTTTGCCTTAAGGAGAGAAATTAAACTATTTCCGAGCGCATGAATGGGCGCCCTCACCGTTCACGTTTGTATAATGTTGTACAGACCCCGTACTCACACGGGTATGGGAAAAAAATCACCGTCCATGCAGCCGGCATCACATATTGTAAAGTGTCTTGCCCGTGGACACACACTCTCCATTAACGTTTGCGATAGACTCGAACCCACATTTAAAAAAAAACTCCCCACAGATCTTGGGCTCTACGCCCCAGACCGCTGGGCCCCATGCAGGCCCCCATACAGAACTTTAATCAAGTTCATTACAACATTCGGGCAAGGAGTTTGCTGGGTTCTAGCAATTACTGATGTTCGATACTTGGTCTTACAGGCAGAAGGCAGAAGACTGAAGAAGACTTATCCTGCTGGAAATATTTACCCGATCTGTCCGTTTTCCTAAGCTATCATACGGGGCCTTTCCATATACATGTATTTTTGCTCCAACGCGCGCAGTTCAGAAATAATATCCAACTCCAAAGTTCATCCCGACCCTTGCTTAATCCTAATCAGCGCTTATGCAATTTTCAAAACTGCACGGTGTTACAGATATTTATCATTCGTGATACAAGCAGTGCAGCGTGATTTAGTTGTCACATTTGTAGCGATTTTGTTTCTGTGTGCCAAGTTTTTTCAGGTTTGCACAAATATTGATCGAAACGGGATTGATAATATTTCCATTGCAGTGGAATAAACAAGGGCGGTCCTACGTACGCGAGAATATTAACGTTCGTATTTTTAGCTGAATAATTATGCTAATTTAAAGTCTCCCGTTCAGCTTGAGTCGTTGAATGATCTGAGCCTCTGTCCTTCTTCATGAGAGGAATTTCTTGACTCTTATCAGCGTATCCCAGCAGTTCTACCACCATCAACTTTAATTATGTTTTTCCACTTTTTTCCCCGCACAAAAAGGGACGACTTCCCTCCAAAAATAATGCGGGATTGACGTTGGGCAGACATACAGAGCTTGTCGGTTTTTGTTAAAAGGCCACCAGCAAAACGAAACATGAATCCAAGTCTATTGTCAGCTACGGGCAGGTTAGGCCCTGTCTGCAGCGGCATATTACAAACGGCGGATGTTGGCTCCAACGTGGTAGGGGCAGGGAACGCTCAGGTGACCGGATTGTGTCGAGTTAGCTCCAAGACAGCGGGCTGGGGTTGGAGAGGAAGACGAGTGGATTGAGATCTAGATTGTATCTAAACAGGGTACGGGGAAAAGATGTCTAGTCCGGACAGCAACAAACCGACAAGTCCAGGATCAATGTTATGTGCACGCAGATATCACCTTAAGAAAAAGACATTATAGCCCCAGCAGCTGGACCAGATGGCCAAGAATGCTCCCTGATTTGGTTCACTGGGTGCCCTAACACGAGCCGCTTTAATTTATCATCTCACGACACTTCCGATCTCGTTCCATTATTTAATCACATTTTGATGTAAACATTTTGTTGCACCTGCAAAGTTTTGACTGAATCGGACCATTGGACCCAAGGAGGGTTGAGCGGGGGTCATCCCCGACCCTCCCAAAAATGCAACTTCCCTCCCTTCCCAAAATATGTAAAAGGCCCCAATAAAAGTTTAATAAAGAAATTCCCAAAGTTTTTGTCCCCAAAAGTATTCCCCTTCCCAAATATTTTGAATCCGCCCCATAATTGGAGTATAGGTCATTTTTAATTGTATACTAGTGTGGTATATTTACTCTGTGCGCCGTTTGTGAATGAGCACTTTTTTCTCTTCAGAAAATGTAACTAATTGTCTCCAGAGAATGGCCCATCCAGTTCACAAGACAACACACCACAAACTCCAAGATAGACCCCGATTGAGTAACAAATATTGCCGCTGATATCGGGGGAAATATAATAGGAAGAGCGGAAATTCCAGCGGGCCTTTTTATGCGACTAGGTGGCCGTGGTAGTTTTGAATTGTCCAACCAGTTGCAGACAATCCAAGCGCCCAGAAAGACGCAAGATGATACCACGCAGAAGCAGATCTAAAAGGGAAGTTGGGAAGTTGAGAGGAACACCTCCGTATAAGCACAAAACCATCACTGTACATGTCGCCGTGGAAATGACCAGCGCCAGTATTTACCCCTACACAATGATTATATCCTTGCCAAGTCAATCGATTTGGACAGGATGGTGACGCCTGGTTTTATTATGAAGCGCCCTCACTCGCGTGCATAATTCCAGGAATAGCAGCTCTCCACACATGACTTCCTCGACTCTAGCCTGTCACCTTCAAACGCCACAGTATCATTTTACCTGAATGAGAGAGAGTAGACAAAAATATTAGATTCTTGCAACAACAATTCCTAGTTTATTCGCCCAGAAATGCCGCAATATCAAAGCGTGTAAAACTTGCGCGTTGAGCATGCCGCGCCGCAGCTGCAAGGGCAATTTTGGCTCCCAGCGTGACGGTGTTTTTTCAGCCCTGGGTGATCCCAGTGAATGTGTTTTCTCGGGCAAATTGGGGCTGTACCACCGGCGAGCTTTTGATGTCTAGCTGTTGCAATCATAATGCAATACTCCGTGCCCCTTTGACCCCAAAATGTAGCCGAGGAACAATAGGAGCGGGGCTGAATCGGATGAGCGGGGCCAACGTGGCCCCCTCCCAAGTAGGCGGATCCGGCCTTGTGCGACAAAACAATATTATAAATCCCTCTCAGTTCAAAGTTGCTCAGAAAGGATGACACACAACCGTCTGCGTTTGATCAAAGTTGATGTTATTAGTATATAATGACCAACCCCTTTCCGTTATTTTACGTACTGCGTGGCATGTTTAACTACAAACTTAATGTTCGTGTCCTTATTGCCCGGGGGTTCCTAGCTGTTTTTCGCCAACCTTAATTGCAGCATAGCCTACATTGCATTACGTGTCTCCAAACTGCACACCTTGAATTTTTCATTGTCGTTGTTGCACAGGTGGGCCTACCTCTGTGAGGATCGTTCAAGAAATTTGGTCCATGCCTGAAAACGAGTTGTTATCGAGGCATTGTCTCAACAAAATGCACCTTATATGACAAGTCTCAGATATATCTGTAATTTCTGCAATCGACCTTTGTTTGAAGCATTAGCAAATTCATTCAAACGTCATCAATAGGCCCTATATAGAGAGAGAATATTCCCACTCATAACGTGATTATTGTCCCTAATATTTGCCCAGTCCGCGTTGCTACTGTGTGTGTACATTGAGACGGAGTTTCAGAGTCGCACGCATTTTTTTTATCCCTACTTCATCACTTTTCAAGAATAATGTTACAATAATTCTGACGTGAATTTCGTGCAAAACGATGTGAAGGGCGACTTGAATCGTATCATACCGTTAATACTCAAAATTGTCCAGTCACAGATTTGGTGCGAAATTTTCAAGCCACATTCCTGTTCAAAGTTAAGAAAAGAAAAAGGGAGAGACATTTATGTTGGTCAGTGTCACAACACCATCAAGAGTTTTTGTTTGGTTGTTTGTTGCTG